GTTACTAGGGAAATTACCTGGAGTTCTATCAGCAACTTGCTTGGCCAGCTGGCCAATTTGATTCTCCAGATTTCTGATCGAAGCACTCATGTTTCTGGTATTAGCCCTAGTCTCTTCCATGAAAGCATTTGTGTTTTTGGTATAGGCTCTAGTCTCCTCCATAAAAGCATTGGAGTGTTGAGCCATTTGTCCAACTAACCTCTCCAAATCAGAAAGTTCCTTCTGTGGAATAGGAGGAGGTTGCAGAAAGTTGTTTGAACTATAATCAAGACCACCTCCTTGACCTCTCCTTTGAAAATTATTTTTGCCAGGAGAATTATGATTTCTTTGAAAATTTTGTTGGGGCTTCTGCTCATACCAAACCCCATTCACTTGCAACTGCTGTGGATTATCACCCATTAGAGTGGGACACTCATTAGACTCATGAGCTTCCTTACAATATTCACACATCACAGAAGTTGATTGAACCTTGGACACTTGCATTTTCTCAAATTTCTCATTCAAACTGTCAAACTTTTTGGACAACAGCTTTTGTTCAGCAAGCATAGCATCATTGGTTTCCAACTTTATTACTCCTTTTCTTGCCTGAACTGGGAAGCTCTCATTCTCATTTCTTGCAAGTTTCTTGATCAAGTCAATGACTTGCTCAGATGTACTCTGCCGAATAGAACCCCCAGCTGCACTATTAATCACCAATCTTGTGTCAGGAGAGATGCCATTAAAGAAAATTGCTACCTTTCTGTCATCATCTCCCTCATAGTGCGGACACTTCCGGATAAGTTCCTGAAATCTCTTCCAGGTTGCACACAGCGATTCTCCTTCAAGCTGACGGAAGTTTGTGATCTCATTTACCAGCTGGTTGTACTTCTCCATAGAAAAGAACTCGACAAAGAACTTTGTGGACAAGTCTTCCCATGTCATGATACTATTAGCTGGCTGCCTTTCTATCCATCTAAGAGCTTTTCCCTTAACAACAAAAGGGAATAATCGAAGCCTGATAGCATCGGCAGACACTCCATTGTGCTTGGTAGTGTCACAGATCATCAGAAATCGGTCTATGAACTCATGAGGATCTTCCTCCTCAGCACCAGAAAACTGAACCCTTTCCACCAAAGTAATCAAAGATGGCTTCAGCTCGAAATTGTTTGCCTCCACCGTCGGCCTGATTATACTTGAATTTGGCCTATTGAACACCGGAGTCAGAATGGTGTCCAACAATCTTGGAGGTGGGTCGTTTGCATTGTTGTTACCCGTCATTCCTTGTATTGGTTGTACAGGTACGTTCTTGAATTCTTCCCAAATTATCTGCTTGGCAACTTTCCTCATTCTTCTCTCAGTTCTTGCAATTTCAGAATCAATCACAAAGTCTGTAGGAGCAAGTCTACCTCGCATAAACTCTGGAAAAAAAAATAATTAGTAGCACCTGCAAACACAAAACAAGATAGAACAAAACAAAATAAAAATAAAAATCCAATCTCAAAGATCAACGGTTATTTGTAATATTGGAATTAACAATCCCCGGCAACGGCGCCAAAAACTTGATGCTCTCCGACAAGTATACCGATCGCACAAGTAATATAATGAGTAAGTAGAGTATCGTCTCCACAGGAATTGCAAATCAAGTACTACAATAACCAGTCCCCTTAAGTTGGAAAACTCGATTTGTTGTTTGGAAAAATTGCGAATTGATTTTGAGTAACAATAAGAAATAAAAGTAAAGACTTATTTTTGAATTTTTATTTAAGAGAAATAAAACAATATCAATGAGAATTGATTTTAAAAATATGAGAAAACATTGTAGCTAGAGCGCACTCACCTTGTGATCCCCACTTCTTACTTTGGATTGATTCACAATACTTATTTATAGAATTACTCGGATAAATTATTATCTAAGAATATTTATTAGTTAACCCTCAATTCCTTGCAAGGTTAACCCTTTAATGCCCAATTGGAACCCCAATTCCTTGCAATGTTCCTCATGGTATTAAGCAATGAACACAATAATTTAAGCATCCGCAATTAAATACACATCTATTACTAGCATGCATACCAATTGTTATCCTACCCCCTTTCAAGATCAAAACCCCAATATTCCTATCTAGGGTTTTAACCCTCAAACTATTCTCAACTATCAGATTGATCAGTTCTAATAAAGAAAATAGAAAATACGCACAAGGTAGAGACAAAGATAATTATATAAATGAGTAAAACTAAATCAATCCATCGTAACAAGGGTTCACATAGGGCTCGTGACCTTAACTACAATAAAAGATAACTAGCCAAGCATAATCATGGCTAAAAATAATCCAATATTCAAAAGCATAAAATTAAGGAGAAAAGAGAAGATGAACTTGATCCCCAGGAATCCCCTCAGAGCTCTGTCGTCGTCTCTCTTCAGAAGAATAGGTCTCAATGCCTAATTCTGTCATAGGGATCCTATTTATAAACCTCTTTTCCTTCTTCCAAAAATACCCTTCGCGCAGCACAATACTTCTTTCCCGCAAACCGGCGCCAGTTGGCGCCGGTGTGGCGCCAGTTAGCGCCATCTTCCTGCCCAATGTATGCTGCATTTCGGCGCTGGTTGGCTTTAGTTTGGGCGCCTAGTGGCGCCACTTCTTCTTCATTTTGGGCGCCTAGTGGCGCCATTTTCTTGTGAATTTGGGCGCCTATTGGCGCCATGGAATGGTGATGAATGTGGCTCCAGTTGGCGCCACTTTGGTGCCACTTAAAATTCTCCGTTGCAAAGTTCGTGATCCGGCGCGGGTGTGCGCCATTTTGGCGCAAACTTGCGCCAAGTCTCTGATCTTCTGTACTGTGCAACCTTTCCAATTCGGCGCTGGTCTGCGTCAACAGGCTTTTATAGTTTTCACTTCTTTTTCCTGTAAAAACACAACCAATAGGTGAGAAATATAATTGAAAAGAAAGAATCAATATAATTAGCAAATATGTAATTAAGTTGCTCTTTTATGACTCAATTCTTATCAATTTTAACACAGAAAATCACACTTGCCAGAGGCACATCACAAACCTAGCCCTATCTCCAGTTGAAGTTGTTCTATCAACTCTTAAGACTTTACCAATCACAGTTCCTAAATGATTCAAAAAAGGAAACTCACAATACTCTTGTGGAATACCTGGCAGGCGCACCCATGCAGCAACCTTATGAATGTTTTCCTTCTCTGGATCAAAGCAAGGCTCCCATGTCGTAGTTGCCAGGTAATGTCCCAAGATCACCCAAGGCCCTCCCGTAATCGCCAGATTCAGGTCCTCCAAGCAGCTGAATTGAATAGAGAAGAAGTCATTCCCTAGATCAGCTACAGTAATGCTACCCGTCTTAGCTAGAGAACTTCCAATCTTCGTTTCATGAACCCTACACCCAGTGGCGTATCCAGAAAATTAACGAAGAGTGGGCACTCAACAAGTTCATGTACTTATAGATCTAGGTCTGGTCTGGAACGCGACTTGCGAGCAGCTGTCGGCTGACTGGATCTGGTTTAGATCTAGATCTGGACGGATTGTGACTCAATTAGACCGATGATGGAGGAAGAAGCAAATGTTTCAACTTCCAATAACGGAGATTGAGATTTGAGAGGAGATGAATCAGTATGTATATGCAAATGATGGGTCGGGAACAGAGCTCTCTGCTGTTAGATTTGGATAATAAAGGTGGAGGAGAAAAAATACTCACGGGAAAATAAAATAGAAGGAGAAAAATTAAAGGGGCAGGATATCGTAACAACCAACTAGAATTACTACCAATCAATTTCACCGTGAGATCGATTATGTTGATCCAATAGTTATATTTATTTTTATCTTTGTATGGTTATTTGTATGGTTATGATCCCCATATTTAATGTAAAAGCATTAAATATGAGAAATCATAACCATACAAAAGTGAAAATAAATATAAAGTATCAAATATGGGGAATCATAACTATAAAAAGATGAAAATAAATATAACCGTTGGATCAACATAATCGATCTAACGGTGAAAATGATTGATAATAATATTAGTAGTAACCCTAATTAATTGTTATAATATCCTACCCCGAAATTAAATTTAAAAAACTTGAATTTTAACATAAGTGTATTTTTGTATTTTTACTCATATTTTAAGGGTGAGCACTTGCCCTCCTTCTCATCTACCTCCAGCCACCTCTGCCTACACCAATCCTCTTGCCCAGCAACTTAACAATCAAGGCGTTCTTCCATCGCAGACGCATGTGAGCTCTAGCTTCTCCATTGCTCTTAATTTCCACCCGTCCATCCTCTCTGACTAGTGTTTAAAAGCCCCACTCAGAAATAGTCCCCTGATTCGGATCGAGCGGATCCAGATCAGGATCCTCCTCCTCCATCAGCCAGGGTGATGCTTCGCCCGAAACACCATTCTCCATCCCTCTAACCTCCGCGAAGGACCTCTGCTTCTCAAGACCCTTTTCAACAGCTTGAAACTCATTTACCACTTCACGCATTCACCCTTCAGTCGGAATCTCATCACCATTCTTCGCACGCTTCGTGCTCTTCCTAGTCATGCACAATAAATCAGAGTGATTCTCCTTCAAATTCCCCATTGAAACAACAAGTTCTTAGAATAGAAACCCTAACAGACCAAAAAATTTTCGCGCGCCTAACTAACCCATCTTTTTAATAAGGTGTCGCTTCTTTTTTTTTTTTTTTTTTAATAAGGCTAACCCATCTCATCATAGTGACTTTAAATGTGTTGGCCCGTTTTATCATCTAATTGTTACAGTGTTTTTTTTTTTTATTCTTAAGTCATGGTTTTGGGCTGTTTTTGTCTGTGCGGTGCGTTTTCTCGTTTCTTGGTATCTGGCAAGTGGTGTCTACCGATGAGGCCGAACCCCATATGGCAAGCCCATACAAGCTCGATTTAAGTCGTAAAGAAAGGCCGTTTGATTTATCGGGCTTGGGTTAGCCCACGTCTTGGCCAAGTGATAATTGTTGAATTCATGTTACAACCGCTCTCTGCTTCTCTACGCTGCAAAGTGAAAACCTTAGAGAGAGAGAGAGAGAGAGAGAGAAATGGAGAAGATGAAAATAGAAGAAGTTCAGTCGACGACGAAGAAACAGCGTGTTGCTACCCACACTCACATCAAAGGCCTAGGTCTTGAGGTTCCTTCTCTTCCCCTTACTCTTATTCTTATTCTTCTATTGTGGGGTTTTAATTGCATGAAAAATAATTGCAAATTTTTTAAACTGTTTATAGGTCCTTCCTTATTGTCATAGATTTTAAGCTTGTAGGTCGAAGTGGAACTCTTTTGCTTATAGTGACCAACAACACAAAATCATGCTCTGCTCAAATGTTATGACTTATGAATGCTTCAATTTTAAGAGACTTAAGTGAAAAATTACATTTTTATTTATTTATTTATTTTGGTTTGATTATTGTTTAGGCGAGTCTAGGTTGTGATATAGGTGATGTTGTTGATGTATTTGTATTGTTTAGGCAAGTGGAAGAGCATTGCCTTTTGCTGCTGGTTTTGTGGGACAAGCAGAGGCAAGAGAAGCGTCGGGTCTTGTGGTTGACATGATACGCCAGAAGAAGATGGCTGGCCGGGCACTCCTTCTCGCCGGACCGCCCGGAACCGGCAAGACTGCTTTAGCTCTTGGGATAAGTCAGGAGCTTGGAACAAAGGTCTCCTACCAACAACTCATTCTTGTATTTTAATTTGTTTTCTCTTTGTGACCTATGAAGGGGAGGTCACAATTTGATTCGTGTAATTAGCCTCTTACAAAATGTAATGTAAAGCTGATTACTATACTGTATACACCATTACACCCTTTGCTAGACCCTGCGTAGAGCAGGATCTTTATAGCACCAGGTCGTATTGTGTTTGTGACCCATCTTGCTAATGCTAATAAATTTATATGACTCTGCAGGTTCCGTTCTGCCCAATGGTTGGCTCGGAAGTATACTCATCAGAGGTAAAGAAGACTGAGGTCCTTATGGAAAATTTTCGACGGGCTATTGGCTTACGTATCAAGGAAAATAAGGAAGTATATGAAGGAGAGGTGAGTTTGTTGTAATTCACATGTTAAAATTGGGATGAGATTGTTGTTTGCTTTTCCCTCTACATATTATTGTTCATATCAAGTCCTGATGTGTTGCTTTTCTTGTGTAAGGTAACTGAGCTCTCTCCAGAAGAAACCGAGAGCGTAACAGGTGGTTATGGTAAAAGTATTAGCCATGTGATAATTGGATTGAAGACGGTGAAAGGAACCAAGCAACTGAAGTTGGATCCCACTATATATGATGCTTTGATTAAGGAAAAGGTGAGGTCTCTAATTTTCTTGCTTTCCACTTACTGCTGTCATGTTTCTCTGTGTGTGTGTGTGCTCTTGTGCGTAAGAAGTTTTTTTTTTGGTAGGATGCTGTTTTAATTTTAAAGCTGTGTAATATTTGTGTCGACCAATCTGATATTTTGATTTGGGATTTCTGCATAATGTGCAGGTAGCTGTAGGGGATGTTATATATATTGAGGCAAATAGTGGGGCTGTGAAAAGGGTGGGCCGAAGTGATGCTTTTGCTACAGAGTTTGACCTTGAAGCAGAGGAGTATGTTCCACTTCCTAAGGGAGAGGTTCACAAAAAAAAGGAGATTGTTCAGGTATTTGGCTTGAAGATCGATTTTTTTTTTTTTTTATGTAATGCCTCTATAGACTATAGATATGCTAGTTTTAAATCCCGATATTTGATCGTACTTGAAACTTAAATTGATGTCCGGTTTCATGTCTAAATTTAATTGTTTTTTTCAATATCATCACATCTATAATCTATTTCAAGGTGATCTGTAACTGACCCCATGTAGATGATAACATACTTAGGATGTAGTTTGTTCGGGTGACGTTTCAATTGTTCCCTAGCCAACATTTTGTTTATATATTGAGAGTTTAAGCAATACAAGGAGCTGATATATTTCACCGTTGAAAGAAAGTTTTCTATCTTTATTTTCACTTTTTTTTTTATTGTTTATTGCTATTTTTGTTTAATTTCTAGTTTAAAAAAAAAAAAACCATTCCCCGTTAAACCCGACTAGCGAGTGTGGGGTGGAGGTAATCCTTGCACGCAGTCCTACCCTTGCATAATTGCAAAGATGCTGTTTCCTGAATTCGAACCCATGATCCTTCAGTCATAAAGGAACAGTTTTACCACTGTTCCGGTTCTCCTTTGTTTAATTTCTAGTTATTTATATATTTTTCCTTTTAATTTTCTTTTTATCCTTTTTTTTTCTGTTCGTTTGGTTCTTTCTTCTTTCTTTTTTTTTCCCTCAATCTTTTCATACTTTTCATTTGGGATAAAAGTGATAATGTTGATTGTAGAGGAACAAGCCTGGAGGCAGTGTATCAAACCACCTTAAGATGTCACTCTGTAAATCCTCTAAATTTAACTTGGAGTAGCATCTACTTTTAGTTCATTCATTCTGTTGCGATTGTCTAATTTTATTGCAATTATTAAATTGAAACCATGTCATGAGGGGGACATGGAGTACTTCAAGCAAAATTTCCGTGGACATCAGAATGTTTTTCTTGTAGATTTCAATTTTAGAGGAGATAAATCTTTTGAATTTTATTTGTTTTCAGAATAAATATCTTTTTGGAAAACAGTTTTAAATAAAAATAGTCAGGGGTCCAGATTCTTTGAGAATGTGCTTTAGGCATTGGCTATATATTACTGATTTGTTATTGTGATTTGGATTGTTTTTGTTCTTAAAGGATGTAACCCTACATGATCTGGATGCTGCCAATGCACGACCTCAAGGTGGGCAAGATATTCTGTCTCTTATGGGTCAGATGATGAAACCCAGGAAAACTGAAATCACTGACAAGTTGAGACAAGAAATTAACAAGGTATTGTCATAACTTGTGATATATGTTTGTATTTTTTTGTTTAATTAGTCATGGATGGTAAATTAAGGGTATAAAATGTGAGCTTTTTTCTTAGCAATTTCCTCTTACTTTCAGTTGTCCTTGAGAATATTACTTAATCTTTTGGATGTTTTATGCCTCGAATTGAAAGTGATGATTAACAAAGTCATACTTTTGACCAAGAAACCAAAGGAAAAGAGGAGGATAATACCAAGTGGGTAACTTAAATGCTTACTAATATGTTTATGTTGGTGACAGGTTGTCAACCGATATATTGATGAAGGTGTAGCAGAGCTTGTCCCTGGAGTTTTGTTTATTGATGAGGTTGCTGTTATCATCTTTCTCACCAACTAATGTTTGCGTTTCTATTGCTTTTAATTAATCAATTTTTCAATGCTTCTTTGCAGGTGCATATGTTAGATATGGAGTGTTTTTCCTATTTGAATCGTGCTTTAGAGAGCTCACTATCTCCAATAGTAATCTTTGCTACAAATAGAGGAATATGCAACGTAAGGTATGATTAAACTAATCTTGCTTTTAAAGAAGTTTTGGCCCAGTGTTAAAGTTGAGAAATCAAATGAATGAAATGTGATAATTGATAGCCAGTCATTCTTCATGCGTTATTACCTTATCAGGCATTGCCATGGTTCTTTATTTTGTTAATTAGTGTTTCAGATTATCTCCTTCATATTGACTTTAACTTTGTCATATGACTTTTGTGCATCAACATCAACATCAACAACACCTTTATCCCAAATTAATTGGGGTCGGTGGTAGATGAACCCACATGAAAGATACAAAACGGTTGAAAAAAAAATAAAAAAAAAAAAAAGAAAGTAAAAAAGCCAAAAATAAATAAATAAAAATAAACAAATAAAATAAAAATATAAAATAAGATAAAATAAAATAACAATATATGTATAAATAAATAAAAAAGGGACCATCTGGAACATAGGAATAACAGCGGGTCTGACCCTCCACCATACTTATAGCTTTTCTCCATTCCGTTCTAAGACATACTGTCCGCCAATCTATATCCCACTCCATTAAATCTTGTTTTACTATTTTCCCCCAAGTAAGCTTCGGCCTACCTCTGCCTCTTTTTGTGTTGAGCTCTTGGTAACAAACTTCTGTTCTTACAGGAGCATCCATGGGTCTTCTCATCACGTGCCCAAACCACCTCAATCTATGTTCTCTCATCTTCTCGGCTATCGGTACTACTCCGACCTTTCGTCGAATATCTTCATTTCTTATCTTATCCATCCTTGTGTAACCACACATCCACCTTAACATCCTCATCTCTGCTACTCCCATCTTATGCTCATGTTGCCTATGTGCTGGCCAGCATTCTGCTCCATATAGCATTGCCGGTCTTACTGCCGTTTTATAGAATTTTCCTTTTAACTTCAGGGGGATTTTGCGGTCACACAAAAATGCAGATGCACTGCGCCATTTCATCCACCCTGCTCTGATTCTGTGATTTACATCCTCATCAATCTCTCCACCGTTTTGTAAAATGGAGCCCAAGTATTTAAAAGCATCTTTTTTGGGTACCTCTTGACCATTTAGATGCACAGGTTCTTGGTCCTCATCTCGTACCAGAGAAAACTCACACTTCAGATACTCAGTCTTGCTTCGACTTAATGTGAATCCTCTGGATTCCAATGTGCTTCTCCACAATTCAAGTTTTCTATTAACACTCTCCTTGCTCTCATCAATAAGCACAATATCGTCTGCAAAAAGCATACACCATGGCACTTCCTCTTGAATATCTTTTGTTAGTTCATCCATAACTAAGGCAAAGAGGTAAGGACTTAGAGCCGACCCTTGGTGTACACCTACCGTGATAGGAAAATAACTTGATGATCCATTACAAGCTTTTACGCATGTAGTAGCCCCATCATACATATCCTTGATTGCCTTTACATACTTTAATGAAACCTTTTTCTTCTCCAGGACCCACCATAAAACTTTCCTTGGAACCCTATCGTATGCTTTCTCAAGGTCTATGAACACCATATGCAAGTCCTTTTTCTTTTCTCGGTATCTTTCCATTAGTTGTCGCATCAAGAAAATTGCTTCTATGGTACATCTTCCTGGCATAAATCCAAATTGATTTACAGAAACCTTGGTATCTCTCCTCAAGCGATGTTCAATAACCCTCTCCCACAACTTCATAGTATGGCTCATTAGCTTAATGCCTCTATAGTTTGAACAATTCTGTATATCTCCCTTGTTTTTGTAGATAGGCACAATCATACTTTTCCTCCATACATCAGGCATCTTATTCGTCTGGAGAATCTTATTAAAAAGATTGGTCAACCATTTTATTGCCACATCCCCCAGGCCTCTCCACACTTCAATAGGGACACCATCAGGCCCTAAGGCTTTATTAGTCTTCATCCTCTTTAAAGCCTCCTTAACTTCATGTGTATTAATTCTGCGTACAAATCTTCTATTCATATCATCACACGCATCCTCTAAGTCCACCTCGCTTGTATCTCCATCCCCATTATACAGCTTGTTGAAGTATTTCAACCATCTTTCATTTACATCTTCATCTCTCACCAGAAGTTTTTGATTTTCATCCTTGATGCATCTAACTTGGGTGAGGTCTTTACTTTTCTTATCCCTTATCTTTGCAAGTTTATAAATACCTCTTTCACAATCCTTGCTCCCAAGATTTTTATACAACTCGTCGAAAACCTTGCCTCTAGCTTCTCGCACTGCTTCTCCCAAGATTTTTTTCTCGCACTGCTTTCTTTGCATTTTTTATGTGATGAACCTATATGACTTTTGTGCATGTGATTGGAAAAAATTTAAAGGTAAACCTCTGTGGTTGTGGACCCTTGTTGACGTTTAGGGTTTTAGTTTTATTCTTAATATACATAAATTAATGTAAATTTAAGTCAATTAGTCTTCGGTGCTCTTTGCATGTCTTATAAGACACCTAATAATGTTGGATTTTTAGAGTATCTCAATGGGCCATGTCTATTTTCATGATTTGTTGAGGCATGTAAGTTCCTTAAAACGGGTGATTATATTGATTAGTAGTTAGACTGATATGGTTTCATTTTCATTATTTACAGAGGGACTGATATGACCAGTCCTCATGGCATACCAGTTGACCTATTGGATCGGTTGGTCATCATTCGAACACAGACCTACGGTCCTGCTGAAATGATACAGGTAATGGCTTTCATCTTTCTTTTGAATACCCTTTTAATGTGTCAAACTCATATGTTTGGATGTACTAAAATACTTGCTTCTTACCTGTGGGACAGATTCTAGCTATCCGTGCACAAGTAGAGGAACTGGTTGTGGATGAGGAAAGTTTAGCTTTCCTTGGGGAGATTGGACAACGGACATCTTTAAGGTCTTCATTCTAGATTGGCTATTCTCGAATGTTTTTCTTTACCATGTTACTTACACTTGTTGCTTACAGGCATGCGGTTCAGCTTTTATCACCTGCAAGCATTGTTGCAAAAATGAATGGCCGAGACAACATCTGCAAGGTAATTACAATATTGGATCATTGGATGTCAGGCACTTGAAATAATTTTACTACATCCTTATCTTAATGAGTTTTTATTGTTATCATTACTATTGTTATAGGCGGATCTCGACGAAGTTTGTTCACTCTATCTAGATGCCAAGTCATCAGCCAAGCTACTTCAAGAGCAGCAGGAAAAATACATCTCATAATATTATTTTCAAACCGTTGCAAAGGCTATTGCTTGGGTTTGAATTAGAACTGGTTTCCTTGTTGCTTCTCTACTTTGTCTCCTGCATGGCTGGGGTAATTGGTTCAAAGAAAACATCCGGATATTATTGATGGTAGCAGGAACCTGAGATAGAGAACCTGACTCGTTGGATTGGATAACATTATGGCATGGTTAAAGTGTGCAGTAATATGTTGCTGAATTCATGATTTTGGGATTATTTTTCATCATATTTTTACAACTGGAAACGGAAAGGCAACATGGAAAATGTAATGAGGTGGATTATTTACTATATGTTTTCCCTTTTGTTTTTTCTTTTGCTTTTCTAAATCTAGTTTTGTTTATAATGATCTTTCCTTTTATACGTTTCTTCTACAAATTCATTGGCTTTTATCCTGTGTTCACTCTACTTGTCCATGTCGATGTTCCTGTCTGATGAACCGGTCAGTGCATCTAACTTCGCAGTCTGCCCACTTGGACTTTGAACGCTAGTTCTGGATTCTTGTGGACTTAAGAATTGTTTGTTTGTGCATTGTTTTTTAAAGAAAAAAGTACTTTTTTAAATTAAAAAGCGTGTTTGGAAAAGAAAAAACTCACGGTAATTTGATAAGTTTTTTGAGAAATATTAAATAAAAACTTTAAACAAGTTTTAATGTTATTTCGATAGCTAAAAGGAACAGTTTTTTTTTTTTTTTTTTTTTTTCAAGTTATATCATGCATGAAAATATATATTTTTCTTCTTAAACTTATCCAGACCTTTTTAGTATTAAGACAAAGTGGATGTTTAAGTATTACATAGAGGTTAAGATCAACGGTGTTGGCAACTTCGACTGTTACAGAATGTAACAAATAGTTGGCGTTTCAAAATGTTAATACAAGCTTATAAAATTGGACAGGTGTGTAAAATTTAGTAAGCATTTCGCAAAAATGTAAGCTAAGACTGTCATCTTCATGTGAGTGCTAGTTTATTTCAGTAAAAAAATTGATAATAATTATGAAGATAGCCAAGCATCCTTTTACAATTTTATTTTTTTTACAAATTACAATAAAATTTATAAGAGTTTGTAAACAAAAAATTTATAAATATAACCTTCTCCTATGAAGATAATATTTATATTTTAAGAAAAGTTCATAAACTCTCATGGGTTTATTTTTTTATCACTTACACTTTATATTTTTATTTTATTTTTTTTATTAATTACTCCTCCATGATTTTTTTCAATCCAAGTCTCATTTTAACACCGTTAATAATTGAGCTAACTTGTCCATTTCACAATCCCATCATAAGATTTTATTGCTTGCTTCAGGTACTACCAATATAGTCCAAATCGAGTTTCTACGTAGAAACAGAAGAGGGTGGTAAAAACGTAAATCGAAAAAAAGGAGACGAAACGTAAAAAATTTATTATTTAAGGTAAAATAGTAAAAATCGAAAAAAGATACAAAATAATATATATATATATATATATATATATGTGCATGTAATTTTTTTTTTTATGCATGTAATTTTTTTTTTCATTAGTCACTACTCAAAATTTAATAAACAACTTTATGTTTGAAAAATATAAGTCACATAACTATATAAGACATAAGTCTAAAAACATTAAAAGAGAAAATTAAATTTAAAATATGAAAAATAGATTTTTTTAAAAATAAAAAATAAGAAAATTGAGTTTAAGTAAAAATGATAAAAACGTAAAATCTTGTGTTTCTACCATTTTTATGTTTCTACATGCGTTTTTACCTGTTTTTTAATAATTATATTTTTATATTGCGTTTCTACGTTTTTAGATTAGTTTTTGATAAAAATGAGTGCTACTAACTCGAATATACAAAGGCCAAAAGTTTCAAGTAACGAGACACATCTTCTCAAATGTTAGTTGACTGAAAGTCCTAGTCTACCTACTATGAACCAGAAAGGGAAGACAAGAACGGTTCTTTTGTTGTGATGATGCATTATTTATCACTAGGCTCGTATCACGGATTAATTCACAGTGGCAACTTTCTCAACCTTTTGATAAAATACTTGGAGAAACACAACCAGAAAACATTTACCAGCTTCCTAGAAGTATGGCATGTTTCATTATATGAGGGTTGATCAATCATGGAAAACAGTTTTTACGTTGTTTTAGGATTCTAATGCAATGGTTTTTTTTTTTTTTTTTTTGAGTTATTTCATGGTTTGAAATATTTCCTCAAAATTATAAAGAATATGCAACTGCACATTCAACTTTGGGTACAAATCACATGTTTTTTTATCATAGCTGAGAGCAAATGATCAGCTTTTGAGGGAAGAAAGAAAAATATCTACCATAAAAGATACTCCAAAATTTGTGAATATGCCTCTGACCATCTATCTTAGTGCAAATCATAGGGGTGTAAGTTATAAAAGAGTAAACCACAAAAGGTTTATTAACTTTTTCCTTAGACAGAAATATCAAACACATTTACTATACTATATTGGCCTAGATGACCCACACTCTTAGATCACTCAAAAGTAAGTGTTACTTAGAAAATGGTATATTGGAAGGTTACTTAGAATATTCCTATCAATGTCATTTTAATTGCATGCTGGCCATCTATATATTGATATTCTTGACATTACATATAGTTACAATCATATTAATAAGAGACGTGATCTTATATTAATAAAAGACAAGAGCAATTCCTTTGTGGCCTCAATGAATGCTGGCTGACATGTGAAGATTGCGTAAACAAGATTCTTAAATCTTAACTTTGCAATCGATCAGTGGAAATGACCAGGTAAAAAAGCCATGAGTTTACTATTTGAGTATTTTAAGTATTGTCTTGGGACATAAGTTTTGTGACTTAGTCAAAAGACAACGTTGAACCGTCACTCATATAATATAACCTGAAGAAATTAAGAGTAATGAAATGAAAGATTCTCTGACAATCTAGTTTCTGGGGATGCTTGAGAAAGCAAGATGGAAGACTCGAGTCTTGAAGTAGCCCTGAAATGGATAAAAGACCTTGCAGATGGTACTATTGGTCATGAGATAGAGACAATAACCGCAAGGGGTATCCGTGTTGTAAAGGCACATAAAGGTTCCCTCCTTTGTGACTTCATCATACACAACGGCTTGTTGGTAATAATAATCTGATTTTACTTAATTAAAAGCATTTTATCTTTCCCTTTCATTTAAGCTTTGTTGGTTATATATGTCCATGACAATTGTTGCTTTATATGTTTAATTATAGGATGAAAATGAAAATTGGCATGTGGGTGCAATAGCAACATTAGTTGACATCATTGGCAGCACTGCCTCCTACTCCTTTACTTCATATAAATATGTCACTATTGATTTCAGTATATCATACTACTCAACGGCAAAGGTTCAGGTAGTCTTCTACTTATCTTGACGGTTAGAAAAGTATAAAATCATTAACGTAACTTCACCCAACAATTTAAGTTTTTGGGTTGAATTAGTTCTTTACATGATATTTGAACTTAAGCTGTTGGGTGAAGTTACATTAATAATTTTATATTTCTTTAACATTGACATTTCAATATCTTTGTTATTTGTGAAATATTTGTAATCTTCAGTCCAAATGTTAATTTCCCTGATCAAATTCATTCACTCTAATTTATATTTTAATAACAGGAAGAGGTTGAAGTAGAGGCAAAGGTTATAGCAAAGAAGGATGAATTGACTTCTGTGATTGTGCAAGTTAGGAAAAAGGAGAATGGTGAATTGATTGCTCTTGGAAAGCTATGGATGGCAGTTGCTAGAATGAATGCAAGACAACAGGCTAGTAAACTCTAACATCTTAATTTGGTGCTTGAATATAAGACCCTCGGAGAGCAATTTCAGTGCTTCCTTTACATATTGTTCATGGAGATTCTGTTTTCCCCCTATCATATTAAAATAAACCGTTTCAATCAACCTCATTTCTATTGATATTAGCATTGGACTCTTAATTAGTTATATGTAAGACCTATATTTATTGATCAAGCATTTCCTTATGTATATATGATCCTTCTTATATGTAATTGTAACGATACGAAATTATTAAATTAAATAAAAAAAATAACATGGTGTCCCGGGCTAACAAGCTGTCACCCAATTTTTGCTATAACCATAATATTTGAGTTCAAATTATTACACGTTTAATATAAAAAAAAATAGATTTGGATCCTCTCGTATTATTTGATTTCAACCACTCATTTTTTATTCATTGATAATGAGATAAGAGAGAAAATAAATATAATTTTTAAATGAGTGGTTGTGATCTAATAACATGATCATATGATCACTTTTTCACATGAGAGGATCTAAATTAAAAAAAATAGTAAAAGGTTATTAATGATAAAGTGAGACAATTTCACTTTATGAAGATTATCAATAATTACCAAAAGCATGTTACTTACACACGGTTCGAATATAGACTTAATGCCAAGAAAATAACAATACATGATTTAATGTGTGATAGTGCAATTCATATGGAAATTGCTTCTTGCCGTAACATACATTAGATTGTAGAGAAATAATAAAAAAAAAAATCTTTTCCTTCTTGTCGTTTTCACATAATAAAATACTGCAAAAGTCTTATTTTGCGTCTTCCACTTGTTCACTCTCGTTAGCTTAGTTATCCGGGTTTTTTTTTTTATTATGATCCCGGCCCATATCACTTTTTGTGGTTCTTTCTTATTTTTGATAAAATTTTATTTCATTTATACCTTTTTCTTTTTTTCAAATTTCCTCTCCATTTTTTTTATTCTATATTTAGAAAAGGACCTCTTGAGCCAGGACCACAACAAACAACCTCGTTATTCAGTGCTGTCGATTACATTTCAGTGAAACAAAATCCCCTTTTGTTATTTATTTATGGGAAAAGTATCTATCCTTTTAAAGGATATAATCATATGTCATTTTAGATCCTAACCGTTGATTTTTGTCCATTAATGATTATAATTTATTGGGTCAAACTTAATGGGCAAAACTTATTATTAATTAATTAATAATTTTAATCCAATAAATTATAACCGTTGAGGGACGAAAATCACGATTAAAATCTAAAATGATATATGATTATATCCTTTAAAAGGATAGATCTAAAATAAACATAACGATATACTCACAAAATTAATTGAAAGAAAAGTATAACTTTCGAACCTACACTTCAGCCATGTAAAGTGGTAACAATTATATTTCCCTTATATTATAATATTTGAACCCCTAGACTTAAAATAACGTTGGGCACAATCAGCTACAGCGTCCTCTGCTGTTTTTGCATATCCTTGCTTATCGTTTACAACAAAAAATGCTAATTTCTGCAATGCAACATAAAATTTGTAAGGAAAACAAGAATTGCACTAAATAATGGTGTCAAATATATGCAGGTGAGAGCTGAAAAAGAAAGAGGAGAATATGTGTAGGAGAATGTCCTTTCCTGACATAGAACCACCGAGACTAGGGCAACTTTGAGAAAGATAAAGAAAGAGAAAGAAATACTTAGGGCAACTTTGAGAAAGACAAAGATGAAAATAAGAGTGGGAAAAGAAATTGTGGAGTGTAACACGCGGGAATGAAAAAAAAATGGGAGGGTGAAATTAAATTTTATCAAATAATGTTTTTGGAGCATATAATTTTGGAGCATAAATTTCACCAAAATACTATTAAAAGAATTTATAGTTATAATTTTTTTATATTTAAAGGAATTTGTGTTTTACCTTTTAAAGAATTTAAAAATATTATATTTTATAGTGAGATAAACAAAAATCATGATAAGAAAAAGTGAGAGATATTTAGTTAAATATTGAATAAAAAAGTTTCTACCAAACAAAAAATATTAAATAAAAAAGTAGGGAGCTATTAATCTTATGTAGTGAAACAAAGTAGTGGGTTCCATAATTTTTTTTTTTTTTTTAAAATGGGCACAAGATTTCATGAGTGTGCAACTCTTATGATAAAAATCTCCTTTACACGAGGTGACAAATATTTATGAGGCATTATATTTACTCCACATATGTAAACCGTATAATAAAAATGATTAATAAGTTAATTTCAAAATATTATGATAACTAATTTAAATAGGTTAAAGAATTTTTGTATTGGGTATAAACCACATAATGAGCCATAACTGGATCGTAAATAGGGAGCTACAGCGCCAATGCACGGTGAAGTGCGTAAAAAGTTGAGCTAAGTTACTTAATAGCATGTTTGGCCAAAAAAAAAATTGAATTAGTGCGCAAAATAGCGTGCTTCGACTAGCAAAAATCAAATTGAAGCGCTATAGCGTGCTTGAACAGAACAAACTAGGTACATTTGTTCACTTTAGTGCACTGAAGCACGCTCTTCCAAATAAAAATTCTCATATTAGTTTGCTGATGGGTGCTTTAACGTGCTCTTCCAGTAATCTAAGTGGTTGATTCGCTCCTTTTTGCTTACTCGAAGTCCTTCTAGGTTCATCCTTGCTCTTACTAAATTCAACTCCCCTACAAAAATAACAAATATTAATCAAATATGTCACAGTAACATGGTTAAAATTGCTTTCCCTAGCCAAATAACTCAAAATTTTCATGCTCTACGCTTGATTTGAGAGTTAATTATTTTGATATTAGTCTTATAAAATATGATAACCAATGAGTTTATCAATATTTTCTATTGGTGAGTGATCGAGATTTCATCTCTGAATCCATTCATATTAAAAATATTTTTTTCGTCTTTTATCCACACTTTTCTAGTTGTCACGACAAGTTAGATTAACCATCCTTCATATATTTCTTCCCACATAAATCACGTATTGTAATTTTTTTTAATAGAAATATCCAATGTAGATAATGTAGCAATAACACTTAAATATAATTTTAGTCCCTAAATCTTTCCCAATTTGGGACAAATTATTTTTCGTTTTTTATCTCTATTAAGGATGGATTGTTCAGTTTTTCATCCCTATTAGAGACGGATTTTTTCCATCCCTAGTAGGGACGGATTTTGGAACGGATTTTCGAAACAATATCCTAATCCTATCCCGAGCTGGGACGGACAATATTCCGTCCTTATTAGGGACAAAATTAGAGACAGATTTCAAAAATTGAAAGTTTTCTGCCCCTAATTCCATCTCTAATAAAAACAGAATATTTTTTCATCTCAAAATCCATCCCTAACAGGGACGAGATATTTTTTCATCTCAAAATCCGTCCCTATTAAAGACAGAACTTATTTCATAGCTAATTTTGTCCCAAATAGGAACAAAATAATTTTTTCGTCTCTAAAGCCGTACCAATTTGGAACGGAATATTTTCCTTCTTTAAATTTCGTCCCTTATTCATACTTTTTTAGTAGTGACACTAACTTTGGAGGGGTCCACAATAATTAAATGGAGTGATTATTTTTAGCATTAGCAAACAAGAGTAGGTAACAAGTAAGAAAAAGAAATAATATTCATAGACGAAAAAAGATGACCAGTGGATTGACTAGTGCCTTCAGTTTATAATATAGAGAAGTCAGAAGCGAGGGGGATGACGAGGAGGTTGAGCTTGATAGCGGTCACCGGTAAAGTGATTGAGATTGAGAACAAATACGACAAAGTATTTGATCGTCCAACTGCTCAAATTGCTTTTTTTCTGATTTTCTCGATAGCAAGATGATAGTTCTTGTTGGTGGGTGCACAATATGATAAACGTATAAGATAGTACTTCAGTTGACGGATTAGAGTTGATGGAGATGAGAATATATATTCGATTATACCTACGTTTATAAAAAAAAAATTTACTTTTATACCGGCCCCTCACATATATAAAAGTGTATTTTTTTTCTCTTGGCATAGCCCCGGATAGGTTCCACACTTTTTATGTGTGTACAGCAGATAATTTTATCTTCTACAACGTAAGAAATATATGAAATATAGAAAAATGTTAAATAAACTAGAAAAATAAATATAAAAAATTATATTTATTAATTAGTCCTTTATTTTTTTAATTTGTTTCCCCTCTTTAATGTAATTAATTATTAAACATTTATCTACCAAAAAAAATTATTAAACATTTATGCAAAATTAAAAAAATTTGCTGATAATCATAGTTCACCAAATTTGTTTTGCTGATAATGATAACTCTTACAAACAGATAAATAGGCGTATTTTATGCTACGAGATGATAAAGAAAAAAAAAACACTTTTCAATATTTCTTAAATAAATGAGAAATATTTCATATAAATTAAATATTAATCTCATACAATAGGAGAGAAATCCTCTTGTGTTATAGAGACAACCATATGTAAAACCCTCTCACCTATAAAAAGAAAAGAAAAAAAGCAACGCGAAAATATAAGAAATGTAATGTGTACCTATGATGCACTGACACGGGATACGGAACACGACACGACACACCGACACGTTAATTTTAAAAAATATCATATTTTGACACGTTTTAATATTAAATAATATTTTTAATATATATAATATAATTTATATTTAATACATATAACAACCCATAATATATATAAGTCATATAATCAATCAAATATTCAAATTTTATAACATAAATATAAAAAAAAAAAATTCGTACCTTTTTAATTTTTTATGTCAAATTTCATAACAGACAAAAATTGATTTATAAATTATTTTTTTATGTTTAATTAATAAATTAAAATCAAGACCTTAAAAAAAAAACGTGTCAGATGCGTGTCGGAGCGTTAACCGCGTGTCGGAAGTTGATTGCGTGTCAAAAAAACGTGTTAAAGAGTTGACCACGTGTCCTAAAATGTTGACCGCGTGTCGGTGTCCGACATGCAAATTTTGTAAAAATGTGTACAACAAAAAAACACTTGCGAACAATATGAGAATATACTTTCCCATTAAATATAGACCTCGCTAACAGATGTAATAAAGATAACGTTAATAAATCAAAATTAAATAATTAATGTAATATGTACTTAACATATGTTAATGAATTTTTTTAATACTTTTGTCATATAGGACCCGTATTTGAAGAATGAAATTGCAGTTGGGTTGATGGATGGTCAGAAGTTTGTAGAATAGATTTGAGTTGAGTTTAGCAACTTAAAATTTTCTAAGTTGGAGTTCATTTGGATAAGAAAAAAAAATGTTAATACAGTATAACAGTACCCCAAAAAAGTGATGTAAATACTAATACAAACATAGCCATGTAAATCATTTTATGTTGTAGCAGCCAAGTGAAGCAGCACACATAGTTTCCCTTCACTTTAACAGTTTAAAATTTAAATTGCCAAATACATTAACACCTTTGAGTCTTGGAATTGAACACCAGCAGGATGCAAAAAGTTGCATGGTCCATGCAGATCATGCTTTGGATTCGCTCCATTCTTGTAATGTCGGGGTTGCGACTCCAATATTTTTCATGTCAAACGCATTGGCTGAACCCCTCAAATGTTTGTCATTATTACCATCTAATGAACTTTGATCATCCTAAAATTAATTCTGAAAAAATACCAAATCTATCTGCCTTGAGGGACTAATTCCATGTAAATTCATGAAGGATTCAGAAACAAATTTCAGACATTGCTCATTAATTAATTATAGGATATAATGCAGCGCGTTCAAAAACATTTTAAATATTGAATTGTTGTAAAACTAGTATGCGGGTGTCAATATTTTGGTGAAAAATAGAATACTATATATTGATTGTATAAAAGTTCAATTATTTAAAGGATTTATTGAAAAAATTATTTGATCTATATTTAAAATATTTATTGAAGTCCTAAATAAGACATTCTTTTATTGAGGAGTTTTATAAAGAAAATGAAAGAAAATGAGAGATTTTCTTATGATTCTCTAAAAACATTTTCATTTACTTATATATATATATGTCAAATATTTGTACCCAATATTTTTTTTAAAATTAAACATTTTAAATTTCTTCATATTCTGAGAATTATACTTAATATTTTTTAAATAAATTTATTATTTAATTTCCATATTATATTTTGTACTTGGTACACAACCACTGACCCGTTGGAAATACTGATGGAAAATTTCATACACTGAATTTTTGATATATCTCTCACTCATAATGTGATATATATCTTACTTTTTATCAAATTATTTTCTCACTTGATTTTAAAATAAATTATTTATTAATAATTTGATAAAAGTAAAATACATGTCACATTATGAGTAAAAAATACACTGAAAACTCAATGCATCCGTAGTACTAATGATATTTTCATAGCAATGATGTTTACAAAGTCTATTGAGCCAAGAAAGTTCAAAGCCATAAAGCTGACATATCTTGAATGTCTGAGCATTATATGTTATGGTGGAGAGTATTTTTGGCAAGGGCGGAGGGGGTGGTGCTAGGGTGGGCGTCCGCCCCCATCCTTAAAATTTGAAGAATTTTTTTTTAATGGTTGGCATCCAGTAATGTAATATGATCATTACAATTTTTAAATAAAATATCAATAACGAATAAAAAAATATAATCAAGTCAAACCACCATATTACGTTATTATTTTTTTATATACTTAGTTACCCAATCAAGTGGGTTATTAAAATGATTGGATGATGACACATTATGTACAGGATTAATGAGAATGTGTTTGAGATTTTATTTTAATACATTCAAAATACACACACAAACACGATACAAATTATAATACTAGTATTGTTACATTGATTAAGTAATTAACTAATTAATTAATTGGAATGGGTCAACGGGTCAACAACGAGTTTGGTTCTATATAACCCCCCATTTCCTCCTCTCCACTCATCCGTGAGTCTCAACATATTAAAAAAATTTGGACTGAAGGCGCTGGTAAAATAATGGAGGAGGAGATATTGGCTTTGGTTGAGTATGAAAGAAAAGATAAAGTTGGCGATAGCTTGGTGCATGGTGTGTTCTCGGTTGAGTTGAGAGGAAGCAAAGTGAGTAAACGGGTTTGCATGCGACCGAGGATGAGTGGAGCTTGCAATTAATGTGTCACCAAAGTGACCAAGTGTCTTACGTTACATGCATGCAAATTAGGGGATGTGAAAGTCTTGGCCAAGTGTAAGTTCCAAAGAGACTATGAGTGTGTCAAGTCCTTTGTATTTGGTGGGAATAAATCTTTAGTGCTGATGTTGTACTAAAGATTTAGTACATCCTATCAATAAAAATATTATATGTCAGTTAAAGTTTTTTTTTCTCTGTCAAATTTTTTTTCTCTCCCATAATATGTAATACTTCTATTTATTAATGAGATGCACTGAATGTTCGTACATTTATTCATTTGGTGGGATGGCAAGTGGTACGCGCGCAGAAAAGGCTAACATGTTCACCACAAAAGTCATTAATTACAGTGTCCAGCGACTTTTGTGTCCGCTACAAATGCGCCACGTGGCGAGACAGTAGCCACAAAAGGCTAACATGATTGTAGTGTCCTTTGCTTGCTAGATACTTGTGTCGTGTGTGTGTGATTCTGTGGATAAAGAGAAGTTTTGTGACTTGGTCATAAGACAACGTTGAATCGTCACTCATAATCATATATATATATACTATAACCTGAAGAAAGAGTAACGAAATGAAAGATTCTCTGACAATCTAGTTTCGGGGGATGCTTGAGAAAGCAAGATGGAAGACTCGTGTCTTGAAGAAGCCGTGAAATGGATAAGAGACCTGGCAGATGGTACTATGGGTCATGAGGTAGAGACAATAACCACAAGGGGTATCCGGGTTGCAAAGGCACACAGAGGTTTCCTCCTTTGTGACTTCATCATACACAATGGCTTGTTGGTAATAATCTGATTCGTCTCCGACTTAAACGCATTAATTTTATCTTTCCCTTTCATTTAAGATTTTTTTAGTTATGTCCATGACAATTGTTGCTTTATATGTTTAATTATAGGATGAAAATGAAAATTGGCATGTGGGTGCAATAGCAACATTAGTTGACATCATTGGCAGCATTGCCTCCTACTCCTTTAGTACTTCATATAAACATGTCACTATTGATTTCAGTATATCATACTACTCAACGGCAAAGGATCAGGTAGTCTTCTCCCTTAGTTTGAGTCCAATTGTTTCCCTCATCAAATTCATTCATTCACTCTGCAGAAATTTGATTTGTTTTTGTAACATGTCTAATTTATATTTTAATAACAGGTAGAGGCTGAAGTAGAGGCAAAGGTTATAGGAAAGAAGGATGAATTGACTTCTGTGATTGTGCAAGTTAGGAAAAAGGAGAATGGTGAATTGATTGCTTTGGGAAAGCTATGGATGGCAGTTGCTAGAAGGAATGCAAGACACCAGGCTAGTAAACTCTAACTTCTTAATTTGGTGCTTCAATACAAGACCCTCGGAGAGTAATTTCAGTGCTTCCTTTACATATTGTTTCTTGGAGATACCCTATCATATTAAAAGAAACCGTTTCAATCAACCTCATTTCAATCAACCTCATTTCAATCGATATTAGCATTGGACTCTTAATTACATATATGTAAGACCTATCTTTATTGATCAAGCAGATCCTTATTTATGATCCCTCTTATATGTAATAGTTAGTTCAATTTTGCTCATTTTAAAACTTAGATTGCAATGCTGCAAATTAGCATGTACATGGTCCAATGTAGATTGTGCATAAGTTGCACGAATTGTATACTCATAGAAGCAACTACTAAGACACCATAATTTGAACAATAATTTCATATATGAATGATAGGGAAGCTCTGTAATTTGCAGTCTTCGCTTGATTCATCAGCTGCTGTATAAGAGTTCCACCTCTTCCTTTGAGCCATTGTTTTCACTAACCTAGCACACCTTTTCCCATTACCAAATCCAGTTTACTCCTTTTCCTTTGGGCCAATTTCTTCACTAGCATAAGATACCTTGTCATCCTGAACCCCGTTCATCAGTTTAGTTAAATCTTCCCCATTTGAACAATTTTCATGGGTTAACTTGTATACTTCATCAGCTGTAGGTCCATAAGCCCAACTGCACACAAGATAATAAAGTATGTTAACAGAACTCACTGATGCAAGAACCCAGTAGTACCTGTCATAACGACCCTTGTTTATATTGTCTAAAACCCACCCTTCCTTCCCCCCTCTTGAAGTAACGTTTTCCACAATTTTGAATACCAAACTAGACACCAATTTTCCTACACCCATTCCCAGTCCTACAAGGGAAGAAGCAAGACTTGACATAGTTCTAGGAAACTCTGTGTAATAGAACTCATTTTGGCCTATTGCATTGAATGCTTCAGCCAAGCCAATGAAGCAAAGTTGAGGAACAAGCCACATTGCAGACATATTCAACACTGCATGACTATCATTAATGTATCCCTCCCTGATTGCTCTCCTTCGCCTTGTAGCCTCAACAATAGCTGCAGTTACCAAGTGGAGTAAAGAGAAAAACAAACCAATTCCCATTCTTCTCTTGGCATTTATCCTAACTGGTTTGCCTCTGAGCTTTGATGCTAGAGGAATAATGACACGATCATAAAGAGCCACCCATATAAATATTGTAAATACCATGATTACCACTAAAGAAGCTGGTGGAACTTCAAAGTGTGAAGTGATGTGTCTGTTCATGGATTTAGCTTGTAGCAATTCAAATGAACCTCCAATGTTAAGTGACATCATGATCCCGGAAGACCACAGGGGAATGACTTTGATAATGGCTTTAAGTTCTTCTACTTGATCTATTGTGCAGAGTCTCCACGGATTTGAGGCTGACCCATCAGAAGCTATATCTTTTTCTCGGTCTTTAATAAAGCAAGCTTTATTCAGAAACCTTTAAAACAAAGCATCACCAGAAGTTCAGTATTATTTCATTCACTGAATAAGCAAAAGATAATAAGAATGGTAATTTGAATATATGATTCAAGTTTCAACCTTAGCTTATCAGTTGGAACAACAACATCAGAGTCCTTCTTATGATGATACATTCCAGCTGAGTTCTTAGGTGGTAATTGGAGTTTCCTGTTCTTATAGGCCACAACAATTACTCGTGCGAAGCTAGTAAGCAAGCTGCCATGTGTTTGATTCTTCACATAAATAGGAGAAGCAAGGAAGAAGAAGAAAGTGGATAAGAACATAAGTGCTGCTGGAACTCCAAAACCCAGTTTCCATCCAAGATGATCTTGGATATATACTATTCCCGTGAAGGCAATTATGACAGAAATAGCTGAGGAAGCATAATACCAGCTGAAGAACATCTCTAAGGCCCTCTGGTTATTGGGGTTATCTTTTCTATTCACCTGATCTGCACCAAATGTCAAGGAGCATGAAAGGCCACCATTTCCAATGGACATGAGAGCAAAGGAAGAGATTAACAATGCCATTTGCCCAGTTGTTGCTGATTTACATCTTTCAGTTGCAGGGTTGCAAGGAGGAGGTTGTGCTTGTGGGATCATGGCTGTTAACCACAAGAGTGCTATTCCCTGCAAAGCAAAGCCTATTATTGAAAGATAGCAACATAACATTTTCCAATTAATCTCAGCTATCTGCCATCCGGATTGGAGTAAATATTTTTCTTATTATTAAGTACACGAGCAATTAACGGGAAAAAAATAAATAAAAAGTCAAGACAAGCTCCTAAATTGAACTCTAGAATTATCAATTCAAAAGAGAAAATGCAGAAGGAATATGAAAAGAAAGTAAAGAGAAGGAATACCAGGAAAATGATGATGGAACCTAACCCAACAACTAGGAATCGACCCATATAAGAATCAGCAACGAAAGCACCCACTATAGCAGTGAAATTACTTGCTGCAGAAGATAACATGAGAATCTGGTTTGCTCTGGATAAATGAAGCTTGTAATTCCCCATCAAATACAATATCATGTTAGGCTGAAGACCAATGGTTGCCACAGTCGCAAGTGCTTCATTTGCTGCAGCCACATGAACAACCAAAACCAAAAGAAAATAAGATAAAAAAGAAACAAAGAATTCATCACCAAAACAGAATCTGAAAGGAACCAAATCCATTTGGGGGGAAGTTTACCTATGATGAAAGGCATGGTAACAAGACCACCCTTTCTCCTTTGTGGTTGTGAAGCAATTTCCACTTCTTTCTCCATTGCTTGAACATAAAAATAAAGAAAGAAAACACTCTTAAATAGAACTCTTCATGTAATGTTAGAGCTTCCAAGAGCGGACCATGTTCATGTACGTGTCTCTTGAACAAGATGCTAGTTAAAGTAAACATACAACGTGTGACATTCTATTTACAATGTATGCATGCATCTATGATACTTAAAAGCGTCATCAATATTCTTTTTTAAACAGGTGCGTTCCTTCAGTTACCGGCCAAATTGTTGCCAATTATTGATTAAAACTGATAACTCATTTTTAATATAAAGGAAAAATTAAAAAAAAAAAAAAACCCATAACTTTACTCGTAATCATTTATCCATTTTCCAAAATTTTGAATCATTTATTCTTGACTTAAAGTTTTTTTATCACTTATCCCTTACTGGGGTAAATGAAAATTGAGAAAAATCATAGGAGAAATTTTGAAGTTTTCCCTAATATAAATTTGCATCCATGGCAAATTTAGATTTTTTTTATTGACACTCATAAAAATTATGAAATAATACATTAGTTCTGTTATGGTTTTAAATGATTGAAATTAGTTCACTTAAAAGTATGTAACAAGTTCATAGGCAAAAGCACCCATCTAACAATATTGGTTAAAAGCTATACCCAGTTTAAGCACCTTCGATATGTTGGATCAGAGTAAGCAGTTAACGGAGCAGGTTGAGTTGACGTGTTGAGTGCCGTATGAAACCATTACGTGACCAAGTGACAGCACTAATGCCGTTTGGCTGCTCGACGCCACTAGTGGCGTCAACCCCACTGACGTCACTGGCTTTGTTGGCATTGCTTTAATTTTGATTCGAGGACCATATGGGTTTCTCGGAGTGATCCATGAGAACGATGTTTCCGTTTTCACCTTCGAATATTTATTAAAAAAAAAAAAAGCAAACCAATATATAATTTGTTAAAAGGAGATAAAATAATTTTCAACACCCTTGATTTATTAATTTATTTTCAAAATATTTATTCGAAGGTGAAAGGGGAAACATAGTTCTCATGGATCAGTCAGAGAGAAACCCATATGGTCCTCGAATCAATCCACAACAACTATCATCAACCCTGTTCTTCAGCTTTTGGATTCTGGGAACTTGATTCTCAGATAAGCAAACGAGAATGACCCAACAAAGTTTCTATGGCAGAGCTTCGATTACCCAACAGATAGCATCAATGGGAGCCAGTGGCGTCAGCCACTAGTGCTGTCACAATCACAAACACTAACGTCAAGTACTACCGTAAAACATACCGAAGCTATAACTTTTAACAAATTTTGTTTGATGGGTGTTTTGCCAAGATAAAATATTTATGTTTTAAAATTATAAGTCATGTAATTTCACTTTAAAATAAGGTGAGATCTATACTTTTTTTTCCTACTCTCTTTCTAATAATTTATTTTTTTTCTTTTATTTAAAGTGACACATCTTTATTTTAAAACGACACACGACTTTACTTAAAAATAAATTGTTTGTCATGTACAAGGTCTATATTGCTTCTATTTCTTAAAAGAGGAAAAATAATGAAGGAAAAAATGTGTATCATTTTTTAAGGATGTAAAGTTGTGTAATTTTGAATAAGAGTAAGAGATAAATTATAAGAGAGACTGAGAGAGTGGACAAAAAAAATATAGTTATCACATTTTTAAAAGAGTGAAATGACATAAGTTATATCATTCAAAAACAGTAACATTTTTCTCAATAATAAAACCTTCGTTGGAGCAAAAGTTCATCACGTGCTTTAATCATCATTGCGACATATATTCTCTTTATTTTCAAATATCAATCTTTAAAACTTTCATATAAGTATATTCTCTTCGTTTTGATGTTCTCTCTACACGAGCGGATCCTTTTAGTAACCACATTAAAACAAATTGATGACTGAACTATAAATTAAGAGAAATGCATGAACATATAGTATAAAATGTTTTTTATAGTAAAAAACAGAAAAAAATGGAAAAAAAATTAAAAGTATAATCTAGAAGTATAATACCTTAGTCCGGATGATTATCCAACAATCTTTTCTTTTTTATAAAATGAGATTAAACTTTTCACGTGAAATCTTAATACCTACAAGAAATATGCAATATATTAAAAGGTATGGAGGACAAGATTACAAGAAATATATATATCAAAAAAATTAAAAGAACCAAGAATTACATCGTACCTAGTGCCACGATGGCTGGAGTTAACTGGAGAACCGTTGACCCTCTAGTGCCATTCATAAAGTTGCAGACATCATCTCTAATCAGAAACAGCATAACTGATATTTCAAATACAAATTTTAGGCTTTAGGATCCATTACACATGTCACAAGGTCGAGGCATGGAAAAACAACATTTAATGGTAATTGAACAGAACTTTCCAAATTCCGTTGACAGAAGTAATCAGTCAAAAAAATTTGCAATAGACATGTAACCAAAGATCATATAATGTTTCTGTTATCATCTTAGTTCTGCCATTCGTATTATACTAAGTAACCAGTTAATGATTTCCACACTCGAATTACATCTCAGCCTCTGTAATTTTAAAGGTCAGAAAAGATTTTTTACCACGAGAGGAGCATCAAAATCTCAAGTACCGTAACAACAATAAAAACCAAAACATTTTCCCATTAGGTGAAATCAACTAGAGGAATCAAACGACATGATCATGTTGTGTACAAAATCTCAAGTACCTGGGCAATAGTCAAATTTACATAAAAATTTATCAACCAATATTATATATTATGCTTTCATTTCTCAAAACATATGATCAATAGTCATCCATAAGATTGACATGTTAAGATGCTATTAATTCTGTCAACTGTGATCCAAAGAGTAAACATTCCAACTCAAAATGAACAAGACATGCTGCAACTCTTCAGAGTGTATGGGTAGCTGAAAGAGTAAATTCGTTGCTTACAATAAAACAGAATGATATAGTTTGATTCACTGGAATAGCTCAGCTAGACTCCAAACATCAAATCCATGATCTTGGACACCAATGATTTTGTTGGGGAAGCAATGGTACCTCCAGTCTGCCTTGCAATTGAGTTGCCATTCTGCAGATAATAAGGTCGAGAAGGAGCTTTCGATGTGCTCGATTATGAGATTCTAGCAGAGGTCAGAGGTAGGGGCATAAATCCCGTATTGTTAAGCCTTTCATCCAAAGCTTGACGTTGCATTGGATCCAAGGGTTTACCTTAGTTACTGAAATGTTATGTAATTAACCTTAGAATTACATCATACCCAAAAAAAAAATATTGAAATGCTAATAATAATGATGAACTAAGATGAACTTGCTAAAGATGAACCTTAGATTATATATTCAAGATATTACTTGAAATTATTGAGTTAATAGCTTGGTGATTTCTTTGTACAGTTCCTCATTGAAGGTGGAAAACACTTTTAAATCACCCACTAATATCTCAACAGCCTTTGCCTGGAGTTACAGAGTATAACAAAATAAAAGTATATATATATATATATATATATATATATATATATATATATATATATATATATATAAGATAACCCAAAACTTCAGAGATGCCTGGACTTTCCCAATCATAGTTCCAAATCCTAGCCAAACTTTCAATGCCTCTCACGAACTCATTCCCACACTATGTGGCTATGTGGCTCCCATTAGGGACACATCAGAATAGTTTAAGTAGAAAAGCTTAAACTCATAATTTGTTACTTCATTCAGGTACTAGAAATCAAGTATTACTGCATGTATGTTATATTAATTGAAGAATGTATGACCACTATTTATTCCCTAGCTCTAACCTGATGCCCCAGAAATACAACCATCAGCATCAACCTTCACCACCTTTGAGGTATCAATATCTCCACTTCCAGTGCTGAAGACAAAAAAAAAGTATCACATATTTACTTTTAAGCCAGTAACACAAATCAGATAAAACTCCAACATTAAGTAGCTTCTATTTACCAATCAAGGATATTACGAATTTTTGGTTTCTCACATACGCAGAATGGAGTATGATTGTTAAAAGGTATTATATATATGCATAATGTAACTCATGATCCATTTGGGTATTTTATCAAGCATGTAATGGGCAAAGAGACCTGGTGGGTGCTGCTGCTGAGAACGATTTGTGGTATGTCTTGCGATAAAATACCAATTAAATTCTAACCTTGTTATTCTTCTTAGACTAAAATGGAGCGAATATCGAAATCAATATATTAATTAGAAAATCAATCTAAAATCTAGCAAAGAAGAAGGAAAGAAGATGAATAAAGAAAATACTCCATGGTACTCAAACATTCATAGATGTCAACAAAGGTTCAGATATCTGAACTTAGCAAAAAAAATAAATAGAAATGCGATGTGCAATGGGAGGCTAGAAAAAAATTAGAAAATGCTTTTGTTGCGGAAAAAAAAAATGATATATGCCAATTGAATACTTAGCAGAGAGCGAGTACCTTCAAGTAGTTTACGATCGGTTTCTAAAATAGCCACCAAGACACCGCCTCTATATCCCCATTTTCTTGTAGTGCTAGCCCCGCCACCACCCAACGCTTCCCCAGAGTTCCGGTGATGCAGCAATAAAATAACTCCATTAACAGCCACCACAAACCCACATCATCCTCCCTTCACCGATCCACCATGCAATGATCCACCACAAACCCACATCATCCGCCTTTTTAGAGGGTACAATGGTCTGGAAGAAATTGTGTAAACAGTGGTTTAGACGGCTTTCCAAATAAAACCACCTACGAAAACGCTTTCTTAACAGTGCCGAAAGATGTCATTCCATGACAAAATTGAGAAAGCAATGCAAATTGGATGGATAGGCTTCTTGACAGAATCTATTCAACCAAACTAGTAAAATTTTGTAAAACCGTGAACCAAACAACACCTAAAAGCATTAACTATTTGACCGGCATTCCTGGTCGATGTGGTAATTGTTGTAGAACATTTTCATAACGATGCAGGTTCAAATACCGGTACCATCGCAAGCATTAACTATTTGGGACCTTATTAATATTATTTGTTGAGATATATAGTCTCACATTGATTATGTGGGTAACTAATGTGGCTTTATAAGGTCTTGGGCACTTCCACCTTTTGAGCTAGCTTTTGGAGTGGTGTATCCCAAGGTTCTTTACATGGTATCAGAGCCTCACCGTCCCCCACTTTAAAGTGGAATTAAAATAAAAAAACACAAAAATGTAAACAAAAAATTGGGTCTGTGCAATTCTACCCGTGTGTTGAGATATATAGTCCCACATTGATTTTGTGGGCAACTAATGTGGCCTTTATAAAACCTTGAGCACTCCCACCCTTTGAGCTAGCTTTTGGGGTGGTGTATCCCAAGGTTCTTTACAATATTTGTAAATATATATAAAATGAAAGATAGACACAAAATTCATACATGATACATAATTTGATGATGTAAAATTTACACATTCATTCCCCTAGTGCATCTTAAGTAAATTTCTATACACTCATTTATGATTGGTCATTAACAATATTAAAAACCAAGTATTTCAAAAACAATAATGGAACTTCATCATATTTGTATTAATTATATCAAGAAAGGTGCACAGTAATCAGCTCCATTCTCGCTTCCCGACATGTTGAGTGGAAGAGACAGGCACTAAGCAGATCCCTCTACTCCCCAAGTCCCTTGGCTTATCTTTTGTGATGATCATTGTTTCAATAAATAAACAAATAATAAAATCCTAAATTTCTCTTCTCAAAAGAAGAAAAATAACATCAATATTGTCAAACCATATGAAATACTGCCTCATACAAAACCAGCTACAGGTTTCAGTTGCCCAGTAATAAAGAAAAATCAAAAGAAACCAATGATTGATCTATTTAACCTATCACCAAAAGAGTGCTGTATTGATGACCCTCAAAGGAATAAGGGGCAAGGGTCCTAAATATGAATCTTTTGCTGCTTCTTCTTTTTTTCAGTGAAAACTGACAGAGGATTCAAAGGAACTAGCATTCTTATTTATAGTATACACTAAAACTTATTTCAATGTAAAGTTTCGGTTACAGTTAGTTTACGTGATAAAGTTCTTCACTAAACTAGGATACCTTGTCGTACACACCCTCAGTCTCCAATTCAATTAATGGTAATTCTTCCTCATTTGAACCATTTTCTTCAGTCATCTTTGATTCTTGATCAGAAGTAGGTCCATAAGCCCAACTGCATACTAGATAATACAGTATATTAACAGCACTCAGTGTGGCAAGAAGCCAGTAGTACTTGTCAAAACGACCCTTGTTAATATTATCTGAAACCCATCCATCCTTTCCCCCTCTTGAAGTAACGTTTTCTACAATTTTGAATACCAAAGAAGATACCACGTATCCTACAGCCATTCCCAGTCCAAAAAGGGATGAAGCAATGCTCGACATAGACTTAGGAAACTCAGTGTAATAGAACTCATTTTGGCCTATTACATTGAATGCTTCAGCTATGCCACCCAAGCAAAGTTGAGGAAAAAGCCACATAGCAGACATATTCAACACTGCATGAGTATTATTAATATATCCCTCCCTGATTGCTCTTCTTCGCCTTGTTGTCTCAACCATTGCTGCAGTTACCAAGTGAAGAAAGGAGAAAAACAAACCAATTCCCATTCTTCTCTTGGCACTGATCCTAACTGGTTTGCCTCTGAGCTTTGATGCTAGAGGAATTATGACTCGATCATAAAGAGCTATCCATAAAAATATTGTAAATATCATGATTACGCTCAAAGAACCTGCTGGAACTTCGAAGTTTGGAGTTATATGTCTATTCAGGGATTTAGCTTGCAGCAATCCAAATGAGCCTCCAATGTTAAGTGACATCATGATCCCTGAAGACCACAAGGGAATGACTTTAATAATGGCTTTTAGTTCTTCCACCTGGTCTATTGTGCAGAGACTCCGCGGATTTGAGGCTGTCCCATCAGGAGCTATATCTTTTTCAGGGTCTTTAATAAAGCAAGCTTTATTCAGAAACCTACAAAACAAAACATCACCAGAGGTTCAGTATTATTTCATTCACTGAATAAGCAAAAAATAATAAGAATGGTAACGTCAATATGTGATTCAAGTTTCAACCTTAGCTTATCAGTTGGAACAACAAGATCAGAGTCCTTCTTAAGATGATACATTCCAGCTGAGTTCTTAAGTGGTAATCGTAGTTTTCTGTTCTTATAGGCCACAACAATTACTCGCGCAAAGCTAGTAAGCAAGCTGCCATGTGTTTGATTCTTCACATAAATAGGAGAAGCAAGGAAGAAGAAGAAAGTGGATAAGAACATAAGTGCTGCCGGAACTCCAAAACCCAGTTTCCATCCAAGATGATCTTGGATATATACTATTCCCGTAAAGGCAATTATGACAGAAATAGCTGAGGAAGCATAATACCAGCTGAAGAACATCTCTAAGGCCCTCTGGTTATTGGGGTTATCTTTTCTATTCAACTGATCTGCACCAAATGCCAAGGAGCATGAAAGGCCACCATTTCCAATTGACATGAGAGCAAGGGAAGAGATTAACAATGCCATTTGCCCAGTTGTTGCTGATTTACATCTTTCAGTTGCAGGATTGCAAGGAGGAGGCCGCGCCTGTGGGATCATCGCTGTCAACCACAAGAGCACCATTCCCTGTTACCAAAAGGGGGGGAAATTGATTTATCTGAATACAGAATTACTTTGAGAACATCAAATCAATTAGTTTTTCCTTGACAAATTTGAATGTCCATAACCCCATGGGCAAACTGATTTCTGTACAAAATAGAAAAGAAAGTGAAAAGGACATTAAAAATGTTAATCTTGTCCTCATATTCATTTTCATCTTCATACAATACATGTCACATATACTTTGAAAATCACATAGTTGTGATATATCATAAACAATTGAACTGACTTCACAATTCTATTAATAAGTAACTGAGATTTAAATTCATTGGAATAACCATTGAATAGGCAACTTTGATATTGTATGAATGGCAAGAGTTTGATAAAGCTGTGGCACTTTCAATTTAGTTTCCTTAGCAAGAGAGTGAGCATGAAAACGTACCAGGAAAGTGATGATGGAACCTAAACCAACAGAGAGGAACCGACCCAGATAAGAATCAGCAATGAAAGCACCAGGAAGAGGAGTGAAATTGGTGGTAGCAACTGATAAAAGGAGTATGTGGGTAGCTTTTGCCAAATGAAGATTGTAGTTACCCATCAAATACAATACCATGTTGGGCAAAAGCCCCAACGTAGCCACCCTTGCAAGTGCTTCATTTGCTGCCATTTACAATAACATCCCAAAACCCCAAAAGTATAAACAAACAAAACAAGATTTCCATCATGAACAACAAAGTCTGAGTTTGTTTTGAGTCTGAGGGAACGAAACCAAGTAACAAACCTATGATGAAAGGCATGGTGACGAGGCCACCCTTGATGCGCCTTTGAGCTGAAGAAAGTTCCACCTCCATCTCCATTGATCACAGTGTTCTTCCAATTCCTAAGTAGAAACTTCATCTACACAAAAATGGGTCTGTCAAATAGTCAACAAACCCTCTTTTGTGTGTGTCTCTTTTCCAACATTATTAAATGTCGAAACCTCCAAATTACAAACACTCGTGTTACGTGCTTTGATTCATGCGATTTGCATATATCATGTCAAGTGATACAAAATATTGTTTTACACACTAGCCCGCACTTTTTTTAAGTAAAAAAAAAAAAAAACAAAATTATTGCACATAAAATGAATTTCTATAACATTACATAATCAATTTTTTTAGAATATAACTCTTATAAAATCTTTGATTTATACATGCAATTTCCAAATATATTCATTATTTAAAGTTTATTTATAAACGTGTTTTCATGTTTAGAAAAATGTTAAATAAACTAGAGAAAAATAAAACAATTTTATTTATTTATTAATTACTCCTTTATTTTTGTAATTTGTTTTCTCTCCTTAATATAATTTATTACTAAACATTTATATCATTTTTCGTATAAATTTTTTTTACGACAGATTAAATTGCTGATAATCATAACTCTTACAAACAGATAAATTGGCGTATTCTATGCTACGAGATGATACAGAAAAAAACACTTTTCAATATTTATTTATTTTTAAATAAATGAGAAATATTTCATATAAACTTAATATAGTCCTTGTGAACAGATGTACTGAAGGTAATGTTAATAAATCAAAATTAAATAGTTAATGTAATATGTACTTAACATATGTTAATAATTTTTTTAGTACTTTATTAATGTATTTAATCAAAATTAATCAAACGAAAGTAATATGTTAATCAAAATAAATGTTAACATATGTACTTACAGTAATAACAGAAATTTATTTAGTACTTCAATTCATTATTGTACATCAAATTTAAACGCAACATTTAATTTTGAAATATATAAAATTAAAAATTATTTTATTATATTTTTATTGTTATTCAATTTTTATAAAATAAATAATTAAAAATAGATAATATAATTCAACAATTATATCCATAAAAATTATACGTTACATAAAATTATTGAATAGCATAAAAATATTAAGTGTACAACAGTGTAAAGCAATCCTCCTCTTGCTAAATCCTTCAAGAAATGCTACTAACCCCCAATTTCCATTGTCACAGAACCATATTTTGCTTCTATATAAGCAAACCATTTCCAGAACAACGCTCCAATCCAGAGATGGTATCCTTCAAACTCACATACTAATTCTTTAAAGAAAAAATAAAAATAAATCACCTTATATTAATTTAGAAGGAATCTAAGATCTTTTCCACAAGAGACATTTGGGAGTGTATTTGAAGAATGAAAATACACTTACATACCACCAATCGCATGAATCAACTAATAAAAGATTGTTTCACCTTTTCCACAAAAACGCAATTGCGTTAAAACTTAGTAGAAATTTTTTTACCGCTCATGTAGTCCTATCTAACTCGGATCTGGACTAGTCAAGTAATCTATGACCATATGGATAATATATAATTAAGTAATCAATGATCCAATGGATAATATAATAAAAAAAGAGTTGAGTTGATGGATGGATGGTCAGAAGTTTCAAGAATAAATTTGAGTTGAGTTTAGTAACTTAGAATTTTCTAAATTGGAGCGCATTGGATAAGAAAAAGATATGTTAATACAGTATAACACAGTACCCAAAAAAAAGTGATGTAAATACTAAAACAAACATAGCCATGTAAATCATTTTATGTTGTAGTAGCCAAGTAAAGCAGTATACATAGTTTCCCTTCATTTTACATTTTGAATTGCCAAATACATCAACACCTTTTGAGTCTTGGAATTGAACACCAACAGGATGCAAACAGCTGCATGGTCCATGCAGATCAAGCTTTGGATTCGCTCCATTCTTGTAATGTTGGGGTTGCGACTCCAATATTTTTCATGTCAAACACATTGGCTGAAACCACCCAAATGCTGGTCATCATAACCATCTAATAAACTTTGATCATCATAAAATTATTTTGAAAAAATATCAAATCTATCTGCCTTGAAGGAATCTAGAATATCAGAACATAGCCACAAAAGATACTGAGCTTAAAGAAGTGCAGTGTATAACAGCATTATATCTGTCACTAGTGCAACCATGTCAAATCCAGAGTAAGGAGAAAACTTAGCAAGAAATTTTGTCTTTACAATAATATGTCCTCAACTCCTCACACATGTCACCACTTGTCTGATATTAAACTCCTCTCATACAAAATAATGAATTGACATTTAGAAAAGCATTTTCATAAATAATTCCTCTCCAGAAATCAATACCGACTTGCTCAAAGTTGAATTTTGAAGTGATCATTTATGATCAATGGATTATAGATTTATAGCTATACACTCATTCAAAGGTATTGCTACCTAAATTTGGCGTCTACAAAGTCAGATAACTTAATGAAACAAGCAAATGACTGAAATTCAATTTTATTGGTTGAATGGAAAAGGCACAGATAGAGTCTGTTTAAGAAAGCCTTGCTCTCCTGCAATAATGCTGCCAAACACCACTCAGATTTTTCCTCCTCTCCTCATACTTTCCTTTCCTTTTATTCACATTCTCTTAATGGTATTACATAATTTCCCCACTAACACTCTGCCAGTAGTCCATCTCGAGAGTCCCAAAGATCTAGATACAACTACCGAAGTCATCCTCTGCAGGTCCTGCCTCACTGCACTCGACCCTAGCCTTCCTAGAGTACACCCTCTTAATTAGTGACGTATCGAAAGTGGACAAACTCTAATAATCATACCCCAACCTAACTAATCGCAATACAACTTTACATAGATCAGAGTTCTATATCTCTCTGCTCAGAACTCTTGGACATATGAGTATATGTGCAAGTGCAACAAATAGATACTCTTCCAGAGACAATACAGAAAATTTGAACAAAGATTAGACATTGTAAAGCAGATCAGACTAGTCTTCCAACCATTATTTGCTTAAATCTATAGGAGAGAAGGTCTTTTCTTAGAAGGTTATCCCAATAAAGTTCCTGCCAATTGCAAGGCTTGCAAAAAATTAAAAAATACATACCAAGATGAATATCAGGTGTGGCCGCCGCTGTGGCATCAACAATAACAGTTACAGGTTGATAGTCCAATGCTACGGCATCGTAGACAGTTTGCCTGATACAGTTTGGAGTTTGAACACCTGTAAAGCTATATGAAGTCAATACATAAATATAAAACTGTAAGTAAGTTCATTTTGCACATTAGAACTATTACTTACCTGTGATCACCAGTCTATTAATTCCTGCTCCTTGAAGCACTGAATGAAGGTGTGTAGCAAAGAATGCACTAAACCTGGTTTTCACAAGTTTATAATCCCCTTCTCTGATTACTAGCCCATCAACTAATTCTGCACCTACATTTCCTTTAGATGTTGGACCAACTTTCCCTGCTGCATATAGATGCCGACGAAAGAGTTCAACATCTCTTCCTAAGGGATCATGTTCACGCACTACCTGAAAACATTTTGAGAGAAAAAAATTCAACAATTACAAAACTCTTTTCTTGAATGTCAACAGCCCGAGATATCAAGTGAATATAGGTAGTTCTTTCACTTCTTCAGGTAAGTGGCTAAAAATGTATGGACTACGGAGCATTACCCAGGGAAAACACCTCTGTTGTGATACCATAAGGTTGCTAAGAAGACAAAAAACAAAGCTCTAATTCAAAATGCTGAGCACCGATGACGGTATGTGAAAAAAAAGAAAACAAAAATCAAGAACTTAGGGAATTATGAAAGCTAAAAAAGAAACTTAATTTTATACATTTTCATACTCTTTCCCTAATATCCAACAATACTTTTCCTACCAACTTCACCAGGCTTGAAGGCTTCCTTCATGTAAACAAGTAATTCATATCATAACTGGATTCATTTCATTGGTGTGTGTGTGTTAATATATCAAAATCTAACATTTTTAGAATTAACACATCAACAACCTACTCAGTAAAAGTCTATAGACAACCCATAACAGAGAAAAATATATGGGAATGAACTGTTATTACCCAAACTATGAGAATTCCACGCTGCCTGGAAACTTCCACAGCCTTAATCACATTTGGGACAATGTCTTTCCCTCCTTTTACTAGCAGAGAACCCCCATCTTCTATAAAATCTTTCTGCAACCTCACAAACCCACAGAGAGAATCCTTAATTTCTCCGAAAACATCCTAGGAAGGAGGCACGAAGAACAACGTTGGGGAAAAGACATAGTGTAACTACTACCTGCATGTCGATTACAAGAAGAGCCGTGCGATTCCAATCCTCTGCCATTTCCAAAGGGCCAACTCCACCAAGCCCAGATTTTGAGCGCAGTGACAAGGACTTTGGCCAATTGGGTCGCTTATGATGTATGATCCCACTGCACAGGCGCTTGAAACATGAACCACAAATTAGTGAAGGAAAGTAGTGGAGAAATGGTGAAGAAAAGGAATTACCAATAACTCAAATTGGGTGTATTCAGCTTGAGAAATGGAGTTGGTGGGAGCTTCAAATTTGCAGTTGTAGAGCTAGAGGACAACCCTATAAAAGTTGACCAAGCTTTAAAGGATGCAGTGGTGTCCATTTTCTCTATATTCAAAGTTCAAGTGATGCTTCTGTTTCTGTTCCAGATATTTTTCAGACACTCATTTATTTTTTTCCAGACACTTTAATTCACTGTATCATTGCTTAATAAATAATAAGATATGACCAAATAATGATAGCTCTTTCATGCTTATTTTATGTAATTTTTTTAACACTGTTATACCACAATTTTAATTAAACTTCAACCTTTTCTTTTTTCTTGATATTACTATCTAACAGTGTTAGAAAAGAATAGGTAAAGTAGTTATAAATAAAGATAGAGATAATTTGTCTGGTACGGATACTTCAAAAAATTTGATATGATATGTCTAAAACTCTTTGACATCTGACATGTTTCAACATTTATTATATTTAAAATTTCAATAAATATCATAAAAAAATTGATCAATATTTTATTAAACTGATATAATAAAAATTTAAAATAGATACCAATAAATTTTATTGGAATGTCCGATAAATTTTCAATTTAAAAATATAATAGTAACAATTTACATCTTATGTTTTTTTATAAAATTAATAGATGTTTTAAGTTTAGTTTTATTTTCTGATCGGACCAGATACAGTAAGGATGGCCCAATGCGTATCAAGCCCAAATCACACACGGTTAAGACTCCTTAGATGGTAACTGGCCTGGGCCTGGTACCGTTGATGTGGGATGAGCCTGAGCTCTTTGTCCTTCGTCCTTCACGTTGCACCGGTTAGGGGTACCTGCGAAGACACTCTGACGCTCAAGTCAGTATCAGAGGCAGGTGTTTAGGTTGTGAAAGTAAAGGATGATCGTACCTTGGTGGCACAACGTATGTTTATATAGTAATCGAGATGTGTGTTCGGAGGAGACCTTTCTTTATGGTGAAGGCAAAGGTTACTTGGGGCCAACGTAGTGTGGCTGTCATGGTTTAAATGTTGAGGAGCTTGCCGCCATGGTGTCTATTAGTAGAGTTGTGGCGAGATGGAGTTGTCCATTGCTTACTGGTGTGAGGGCGCGGTGGTGTTGCCTTGGCCCTTAAGTTTACTGTCTGTAGAAGGTATCCCGTTGCGTGAGGAGTAAGTATATCCTGCATGCTGTGATGAGGTACTGCGTCGTGTATGACGCGATGGGACTATCGCGCCTGGTGTTCCGCGATATGGACATCGCGCTGGTGTTATCGCGTCCCGTGCCTGTCTTTTAAGCCTTGTTCTAGGTCTTTTATGGGCTTGGGCTTCCATGTGTTTATTGGGCCCTGGTTAGGCCTATATTATATCCGGATCAGATGCCCCCTAGCTTGCAGCGTTGTCTATGTGACAAGGCCGTGAGCTATATGTCTTTGTGTATGAGGTGCGGTAGTGTTTTGAGTCACATGCCGTTGTTTGTCCGCGGTAATGATGCTTTGTAGTGTCATCATGACCTTCGACCGCTTAAGAACGGTGGATTAGATGTCTAATCAATCAGGAGCATTAAATGCAGCAGTGATTACGTGGGGGTTTAAGGACACTCGTGGGTGTTTACGAGTAAAACGCTTCCCCTTCCCGCCACGTGTCCCACTAACTGTTGTCCCAATTTTTTTTCGAGCAAGAGGACAGCGCTTATGGCCTCATTACTGACGGAAAGGTACAGGACCAAGGGTTCATTGGGTGGAGGCTTGACCAAGACTGGTGGGTTAGCCAAATGTTCTTTGATGGCCAAGAACCCTGCCTCGCATTCAGGAGTCTAGTTGAAGTCTGTCTGCTTGCGCAAAAGTTTGAACATGGGCAATGATTTTTGAGCTGATGCAGGAAGGAATCTAGTTAGAGCAGTAATTCTTCATGTCAGTTGTTGCAATTCCTTGACGTTTCGCGGGCTTGTCATGCTGAGAATGGCATTGCATTTGTCAGGGTTGGCCTCTATCCCGCGATGCGTGAGCATGAATCCTAAGAATTTTCCAGTAGGTACCCCAAACGCGCATTTAGCTGGATTCAGCCGTAGCCTGTATTTGCGCAGTTGTTGAAATACCTGTTCCAAATCTTGAGGATGTTGCGCAGTTGTCATTGTTTTGACTATCATATCATCAATGTAAACTTCAAGCATCTGGCCTATCTGTTGGCTGAAAACTTTGTTCATCATGCGTTGATAAGTGGCTCCAGTATTTTTTAGACCAAATGGCATCATGTTATAGCAGTAAGTAGCTTTTTCGGTGATGAAAGCTGTGGCTTCCTCATTTGGTGTGAACATTGGAATCTGGTTGTAACCAGAATATGCGTCCATAAAGGATAAAATTTGGTATCCTGCAGAATTATCGACCAGCTTGTCGATGGTGGGAAGTGGATAAAAATCCTTTGGGCAGTGTTTGTTAAGATCTGTGTAATCAGTACACATGCGCCACTTTCCATTGGGTTTCTTGACTAATACCACATTGGAGAGCCATGTAGAGTAAGTGATTTCTCTAATCACTCCAGCATCAAGTAATTTTGTTACTTCAGCTTCAACCGCCTGTTGTTTCTCAGGGGATATTTTGCGCTTTTTCTGCGCGATGGGCTTTGCTTTAGGATCCAGGGTTAAATGGTGACATATTATCCCTGGGTCTATCCCTGGCATGTCCGCGGTTGTCCACGCAAAAAGGTCTTTGTTATTTTGCAGTACGGTTATTAGCACGCTTTTCTCAGCCTCTTGGAAGTTTCGACCAATTTTGGTAGTGTTGTCAGGGAGTGGGCCTATCTGGAGGTCTTCCAACTCCCCATCAGGTTGAGGACGAATATCGCGTAGATCATCGCGTACATCGAGATCGATCATATTTACCGATGCTTTGCCTTTTTCATCAGGCTGTACAGGAGTCTTGGCTCTTAGACTGGTATTGTAACAACTGCGTGCTGTTTTCTGATCTCCTCTAATGGCAACTACCGTGCCAGACTTGTTACGAAATTTCATCAAAAGATGAGGCATGGAAATGATTGCCTTTAATGCCACAATAGTTGGTCTTCCTAAAATGATGTTATACGCTGAAGCGTATTCAATGACATAAAATTTCACCTTGATAGTTTGAGCTAAAGGCATGTTTCCAAAGGTGACCCACATTTCAATGGTGCCTTTAGGTTGTATGCATTCTCCAGCGAAGGCTATTAAATCCGAACATCCATGCAGAAGATGTTCCTCTGGGATGTGCATCGCGTAAAAGGCATCCCAGAATATGATATCAGCTGAACTACCATTATCAATCATAATACGTTTTACCTGGAGGTTAGCCTTGCATGCTGAGATTACTAGCGGGTCATCGTGGTCTGGGATGATGTCACCATAGTCATCATCATCAAAACTGATGCCCTGTTTTAGATCGCGAGGGGTTGATGGGCGTGCGTGATTGCGCACTGTCATTACTGACTTTAAGTGCTTTTTTCGTTGAGATGTGGTCGCACCGCCTCCCGCTGAGCCCCCGGCAATGGTTGCTAGAACGCCTGCTGCGTTATTGGGTAGTCCATCACGGTGTTGCCCTGCGCCTTGCTGTCTGTTTCTTGATGGAGTTCTATGACGTCTGTCAGTTGATGTTGCTCTGTCCTCTCTACGGTCACTGTTACGAGTGGAGTTATAAGTTCTCCTAGGACGTGCCCTTTGCTCGTTGGGATTCGAGTCGTGATCAGGGCTTCTATCACGCTTTTGTTGTGTCTTGTATTCCCTGCAAGTGGAAATAAATTCTTCGAGCTTTCCTTCTCTAATGAGTGTCTCAATCGTATTTCTGAGCGCGAGACATTCGTCGGTGGTGTGACTTTGTCGTTATGGAATTCACAAAATTTGGATTCATCGCGCTGAACTCCTTTTGACATAGGAGGACGTTTGTTAACACAGACATACCCTCTTTGGAAAACTTCCTTGAAAATCCGCTTGGGAGATGTATTCAAGGGGGTGTGGCTGTCGTATTTTCCCCGCCTTCTTTTTTCGCGAAATTTGCATTGGACATTCTTCTGGATATCTTTTTCGAAGTTGTCTGTACTGGTTCTGGTGTTGGAGATTTCTCGTGAACGCTTGTAATCCTCCAAGTTGATAAATTTCTCTGAGCGCGCACACAGTTCTTCTATGGTGCGAGGTCGCTATTTGGCTAGCGACATAGAAAAAGGTCCTTCCAAAAGGCCTTCAGTGATGATGTGTAGTGAGACTTGTGAATCTAAGTCTCTAACCAGAAATGCTTCATCGAAGAATCTGTTTAAATAATCGCGCAAAGATTCATTCGACTCTTGTCGAACTGTTTTTAGCGCGTGAGTGGATTTGTATTGCGCTTTGCTCGTTGCGAACCGCACGAGAAACTGGTTGGTTAAGTCTTCCCAGCTTTGTACCGAATTAGGTGGGAACGCTGAGTACCATCTAAGGGCTGTTTCCTTAAGAGTTGTAGGAAATAGTCGGCATGCTATTGGATCTGTGACATCTTGTGCCATCATGTTTGTCTGGAATTGTTCCAGATGCTCTTGAGGGTCCCCCTTGCCGTTATATTTTTCTGTTGTTATCTTGACATCGCGAGGGATTGGGATTTTCATGATGCGGGGGACAAAGGGGTGAATAATTCGAGAAACAGTCCTTGAAGGACCATGAGAATTCTCATTCTCCTGAGTATCTTTGATTTCTTCACCTTTTTTATTTTTGTGACCCGAAGGTCCTGGGTTCCCTGTTGAGTGCGAATTAAGTGGTTCGCTTTATGCAGAATTTTTGAGATCTTTTTCCTTTTCCTGATTTTTCTCTTTTTATTTTCCCTTTTCTTGAGTTTTTTCTTTTTTATTTTGAGCTTTTTTCAATCGAGCTAAATCTCGATTTTGCTGGGCAATTTTCTTGTTTTGTAACGTGATGAGGTCCAACAGATGTTGGGGTGTCGGTGGGTCATCCAGGTGGATGGTAACTGGTGCCACCGAAGAAGCTGATTTTTCACGGGAAGCAGGGGTCTCCTTCTGCTTTCTTTTGGAGCCGTTCTGAGATTTGCTGCGAGTTTCAACCATGTTTTTAGAGAATGATGGGTAATATATGTTCCCACAAACGACGCCAATGATCGGACCAGAGACGGTAGGGATGGCCCAATGCGTATCAAGCCCAAATCACACACGGTTGAGACTCCTTAGATGGTAACTGGCCTGGGCCTGGTACCGTTGATGTGGGATGAGCCTGAGCTCTTTGTCCTTCGTTCTTCACGTTGCACCGGATTGGGGGGGTACCTGCGAAGACACTCCGACGCTCAAGCCAGTATCAGAGGCAGGTGTTTAGGTTGTGAAAGTAAAGGATGATCGTACCTTGGTGGCACAACGTATGTTTATATAGTAATCGAGATGTGTGTTCGGAGGAGACCTTTCTTCATGGTGAAGTCAAAGGTTCCTTGGGGCCAACGTAGTGTGGCTGTCATGGTTTAAATGTTGAGGAGCTTGCCACCATGGTGTCTATTAGTAGAGTTGTGGCGAGCTGGAGCTGTCTATTGCTTACTGATGTGAGGGCGGGGTGGTGTTGCCTTGGCCCTTAAGTTTACTGTCTGTAGAAGGTATCCCGTTGCGTGGGGAGTAAGTATATCCTGCATGCTGTGATGAGGCACTGCGCCGTGTATGACACTATGGGACTATCGCGCCTGGTGTTCCGCGATATGGAGATCACGCTGGTGTGACATGATAGGGTTATCGCGTCACGTGCCTGTCTTTTATGCCTTGTTCTAGGTCTTTTATGGGCTTGGGCTTCCATGTGTTTATTGGGCCCTGGTTAGGCCTATATTATATCCGGATCATTTTCTTTGTTAAATTATTAAATATTAAATATAATATATATTACATAAATTAAAAATATTATTTAATATCAAAACGTATATTAATATATTAAAATTTAATATTTTTTAAAATTAACTGTTAACTATCATTCTAAGAATAATTGCGTCAATTCCCACGGCAGCAGAATCATCCACCATCTTCTCTACGGTAATTTGTTAGTAGCATCAAGAAGAATCAAATTGTGTTGAGGTCCATTTATATGCATTTTTTGGAAAAAAGCCCGTGTCCTAGCTTACCCTTCTGTATTGTTCTGAAGGTTTTTTTTTTTTTTTTTTATCTTTCTTTCTTTCCTTTTTTTGGTAAAATATATTTCTTTCTTTAAATAAGGGAGTCTAATCTGTTTTGGTAATTGATTTTGATTTTTAGCACTAAAATAAAAAGGAGAATGCCACGAGATTTTCACTTTGACAATTGGGAAAATGAAGTAAACAAAAACCAATAAGAATTCATATTGGGACGAATAGCACCCATATTAGGTAGAGTAAGTCATTAAACTGGGTTGGTTTCAATGTCTTGGTTAGTTGCTTCAGTCTTTAACAAAACCATAGTATCCAAACCAAAGAAAATTTCTTCAGTGATAAGTTTCACTGCATCTCATTTGACATATTTTATCTCCCATAAATATAGTTTGAAGATCTTCTGGATTTAAACGCTCTTGTGATTGTGGTACAATTGTTACAAATTCAAATTATGTTCGTGAGAAATAAAATATGTCAAATGAGGTGTTATTGCGTAGATCTCGAAAAATTATGTGAAATCAATAAAAAAAATTATCTGATTTAAATCCCCGAGTCACAAGTTACGACCTTCCGAAGTTTTACGGTAATCGAACTGCCTACGTGATGCTAACGTGGCACGAGTCCCGTCAGTATCATTAATTGACGGGACTAGTCCCGTTAGCATATGTGACATGTTTACCTACATTACTTTTGAAAAATTTATCCAAACAATTTTAACTAGAGAATTCTTTTGCTCAAAAATTATAAAACGGTGCTTTAGCCCGTTTGCGATAGAATAGTATTCGGCTAAGAAGAGTTTTTCTTGGCCTGGAATTTTGATAATTTTGACTTGGGTGACAAGAAAAAGATAGGGCAAGTTCGTCTAACAACAAATGCTACCGAGGAAGTTTGGGAAATTAAATACCTAGTGGCAAACTCGATGGGTTTGCTTGTGATACTTGGAGTCAGTTTGTTTCCACTTTTTAAAAAAGTAACTTTTATCTCTTTTTTATTTTAAAAGTACTTTTTATAAAAGTTAAAGTTATTTATATTTTTATAAAAATATTTAGTTTTTGAAAAAAATATTTGACTTTTGACTTCTGTTTTTTTGAGAAGTTAAAATTTGTAGCTTCTGAAAAAAGTAGATTTTTGGCTTTTTTTGTGACTTCTGTTTTTTTTAAAAACAAACATCCAAACGAACTAAAAATGAGAAGTATTTTTTTATTTATTCTAAAAAGTAGTTTTTAAAGAAAAAAAAAGCTCATCCAAACGAGACTTTGGTATGCTATGTGAGCCTAATATTTACACTTTGTGTGACTGATTAATCTATGAAGTTTTGTTATGATTTCAAGAGAAGTTAAGTCTCATCATACACAGTTAAGCTTGATCCAAGTGGTGATTGAGGAATGCTTGTTACGGGATCTGTTGGTTTGCTATGTGGGATGGAATCTACGGGATAATGGTTCTGATGTTTGAGGAGTTTGCTCCTTTGGGACATATGAGAGTTATGACTTCTCGTAGGATATTTCGATGCTCAAATTAATATTTTAAATAATGAGATTAAGTAAATTAAAAGAAGATGATTATATATGGGTTGTGAGCCTTTCTTTTACATTAACAACATGACTTGCTTGTCACATTGTTATGTCACCTTAATTAGTATGACGACATGCATTATTAGTGATATATTGTGGTGACTTTGCTAGTATATCTCGTATACGAGATTATGTCTTTAATGAGTTTACATACATATCTGGAATCTCATACATATTCCTTAATCATTGGCTATTGGAGAGATTTAAGTGTCTTAGCTGCTGTTAGTGCAATTGTGTGTTCGCATTATTATGTATATATGTATTGTATATATTTTCTTATTGAACAAATCTTTGTATTAGGGCCTTTTGAACTATTATTGAACTAGACCCTTCATCCAATTTAGTACGGGACCATATCACTTTGTATAAAAAAAATCCAACCAAATTTGATCTTAACAAATACAAATTTTCACATCTTTATAAAAACCTCCATGATGGACGGTAATTATTACTAAGGGAAAAAAAAGAATAATGTTGTAAGAAAATTATTAGGTTATGTTATAGAGATAGAGATTGTGGGACCCACACTTATTTTCAAAAAACAAAATAAGTGTGAATCCCACAATCTCTATCTCTATAACATAACCTAACAACTTTCCTACAACATTATAGTTATTATTTCCCTACTACTAATTAGGAAACTGGTACTAGCTGGTATTGGGCTGATCATGTACAATCATAGCAGTATAGCACGTACGAACTTTGGAAAGTGCAAGCCCATGTGTAGTCCAAAGTGGGGTGGGTAAGGGTTCAATTCAATTACTTCCATAATAGTATAGCTGAATTGGTCAAAATTTGAATAATAAAAAAAGAAAAGAAAAAAGGAGCATTGGAGAGCTCGATTGCTTTCTGAGGAATGAGGGGCCACCAGGACGCTTGCTAGGGGTCCCTTTGTGGGATTTAGGTATTCTAAACAAACCGATCGAAAAACACTGATTTGAGCTTCAAAACCATAGTAGTGTATATTTCATGAGTATCATCCTATAATTTGAAAGTAAAAAGCACAGTGTCAATGTTTACAAAAATAAAATAAAATAGTGTCAATAACCATTAATTGAAAGAATCAATTATTTATATTTCGGAAAATAAAGTATGAATCATAATATATTTAATTAAACTTACTATTTTGATTTTTTCATTAGTAATACCCAAAGCAAAATGCAAGTTAATTGGCGCATAAATTAAACTACTCAACCACACACATATATATATATATATATGAGCCTGTTTGGATTCTCTTATTTTTAAGCTAGAAGCTACTTATAAGCTAAAGCTAAAAAAGAGAGCTTAAGAAAAGAAGCTAAAAGCTGTTTGGAAATTACATGAAAATTTTAGCTTAAAATTTACTTAAAAGCACATATTTCAAGAAAATTATCTCTCTCTCTATCTTTATCACTCTTCATTTAAAAAAAAGCACACAATTCAAGAAAAACTGATAAGAGCTTAAAAAAAAGCTCCTCCTAGGAGCTTTTAATTTTCAGCTTTTTTCTTCATTATAGAAAAAAGAGCTTTTCATTATAAGAGCTTTTTCCAAAACCTGTTTGGCTTAGCTTATGCTTATAAGTAGCTTCTAGCTTAAAAAAAAGAGAGGATCCAAACACGCACTATATATGTTAGCCTTTCTGTCTTACCATGTTTGACTCTTTTAAAGCATAAAATAATAGAAATCATTTAAATCCACCAATTATTATAAGTTTAATTATGCTTTAAAAAAATTAGATCGTTAACTATCAGTCCAATAACTATTTTGCTCGATCACACTGAATTGAGCCTGCAACTATTGAAGGGTGTCTTGGCTGATATACTATTTGTGAGATGTCTGGGTGGTTGGCTAGATAGTTGAACTGGTATATATTAATTGATACTTTGAAGTAATTTGAGGAGAGTGAGGGTGTATATGTAAGATAATTTGATGTTTTAGTAAGTAATAAGAGTTCAAGTTTTTACATGGACTTGTAATTAATGTCTTTGTATATATAGTAGATGGGTGCCTTGCTCATGTCGCCTTAATATAACTGTATTTATTCCTATTGACAGAGAATGATAACTTTCACATATTACTTTGTGGGCTAGATGCCTATGATCAGGCTAAGCCTTTGTAAATGTTGAAACATCCATGTGTTATCCTTTAATCATTAGTTCATGTAAGAGTAAATATACTTTAAGTAACAAGTCACATATGTCAAGATGTTACGAGATTCTCAAGTTTCGTAAGATAAATGCATTTTCTTCTTTGCTTAGTAACGGCCTTTTGGGCTTATTAGGCCTTTCTCTAATTGAACCTATAATCGCATCAGTCAATCTTTTAATTATCAACAATAACTTCACTTTGGTGATTTAAGCAACATGCGTATATACGCCTTTAATTTACGATATACATATATTCCAATTTCCAAGCTTAGTTAAAATTATTTTCTCTTTTTATCTGTGTGCGTTTCCTCTTTCGCTATTCATAGGGTTGGCAGCACGGACGCAAGGCTAGAAATGAAGACAAACAGAAAGTGACACTGACACAGCCCAAGCACTACTTAATTATTTAAAAAAACTAATTATAGAGTTACATTACACCCATGACCCTTTGCTTTTGTTTTATGTGGTTTAACTTTAACCCATATCACTCTTGTTCTTTTGTCTTATTATAGTATACAGCATAGTGCATGCCCGTGCTTAGCGTTTTAAATTATTTATATTCTCAGTTTGCAATATGTTGTAAGTATTTAAAGAAATAAAATTATTTTTTACACATATATAAAAATATATGAGAGATTCATGTAGAGTTATGTAAGAAGAAGAGAAAGAAAAAAAAAATTATGACCCACATACTTTTATATGTGTATGAGATAAATATTTCATAATTTTATAACATAAGAAAGATTAAACTTTATTTTTATTTTTCAATTTCATCGTAAAAAAATATCATGCGGCTGCGAAAGTAATATATTAATTTAAGTTAGAGATGTGATATACCTATTTATGCATTTTCATCGGATAGGTTAAACTTTTCAAGGAATTGGTTGATGACAAGAAATATAAATTTTCTTATAGATAGGTTGAACTTAACATTTCTTCTTTAATATTTTATGTTCATTTCTTCTTCTTCTTCTTTTTCTAGGTAGATGTATATGTTCATTTCTGTTGAGACATATAGTCCCACATTGATTGGATGGACAACTAATATGGCCTATATAAGGCTTTGGGCACTTCCACCCCTCACGCAAGAGCCCTTTAGGCTAGAAGTGTGGAAATTGCACAGGCCCATTTTTGGTTTACCTTTTTGTGCTTTTTTTTTTTAATTCCACATTTTAAAGCGGGGGACGGTGAGGCTCTAATACCATGTAAAGAACCTTGAGGTCACCACCCCAAAAGCTAGCTCAAGGGGTGGGAGTGCCCAAAGCCTTATATAGGCCATATTAGTTGCCCATCCAATCAATGTGGGACTATATGTCTCAACAATTTCTTTAATTGGTTTACTTCCCTTTCTGTTTTTAACAGTGGAAAACACTCGGAAGGACTTGCAAGAAAACAAATGATACAATCACATTCAAACTTTTAACTTTTGCATTTTCTCATATCATTTATTAATGTATAAAACAATTCTAAGCTACAACTATCTATCGGAGAACGTCATCTTCAAAAACAGAATATGAATGTACATAGTCAAATAATGAAATTGAGAGCCAGGTTCCGTAATGCACTAATCATTTAACTAATTCATCGATCAATGATTCTTAGTTTACATGATCATTTTATATATATAAATTACTTGTTTGTGGATAAAAGGTTTTCACCAGTCAGTACCCCATTGGCTTTACATTACAAAGTGGATATTAATTAAGGCAGCATGAAACCGCAAAAGCCAACTTAACATTTGCCAAATACAAATTGATTAAAGAAGTACTAGCCAGTGTATGTATATTAATTATAGTGGGGTTTTATTCTTTGAGATGATGCAATATGTAGCGTAAGTATGATGAAAGCGCCACTTGGGGTTGGGTGCAATTGGAGGAAGCGTGTGGGAGAGAAATGGGGCATATGGGGCACTTGAGTAGTTTCTAAAAGGTGGTATATGGGACCCATATTTAGTCACATTCGTGTTAGCCAACCCTAAATCCATTCCCATGACCTGTTGACAACAAGTTGTTTATTTTGTCAACTAAAATTTTAGCTAGTTTCCATGATTTAAAATAGTGCTTGTGAGCCATTTATATACACGTACAAATTAATTTGTGTCATTTCGAAAAACTTTGACATATTTTGCATATTTCTCTCTGCAATGCATGCATGCATGTGTTTGCCTTCATTTCTGATTTGTCAGGAGGAATACCATATAGGTTATATATAGTATTTCAAATTAAATTGGGAAAGATAGTGGAACTGCATTCTTGTTTTAAATCTCTAATGCATGCTTGCAAGGATAGATTAAAAGATGTATATGCATTAACACGTCATCGCACCTATATAATTAGCCTACATTAGTGATATTTTTTAACTAATTAACTAGTGACTCTAAAGTCTACAATAAGATATAATGAACATTTTCACATTATTTTGACCTCGATAATGATATATATTCCATGAATTGTTTCTAAATTTTCATTATTCCTGAAAAGTACAGATTCAACCCAAAAGTTTAAACAAGAAAGTGAAGGTTCATTAATGGTTTTTTATATTTTTCTAACACACTCTCTCACGCTTGAAGCGTATATATTGCACAACCCCTTTTTATATTGCCTTATGCTGACTTAATAATTTGATTAGAAAGTGGAGGACGATGAGGATCGAACTCGTAATCCTATGGTTATGGAGACTTTGATACCATGTAAAACACTCATTCAACCAAAAAGCTAAAACTTCTAGGTGAAATAATTCTTTATATGGTATCAAAGCCTATGTGACCACACGGGATCACGAATTTAATCTTCGCTACCTTCTATTTTTTAGTGGAATTAAGTCAACACAATGTAGAACAAGAAAAAATGAGCATGTGCAATATTCACGCCTCAAGTTCAATTTTATTTTACATGAAAGGTGTGTTAGAGAAATATAATATAAAAATCATTGAAGGCCCGTAGCCTAGCTTGTAGTTGATATGGTTATTTATCACGATTTTTATATATCTCTCTAACAATCTCCTAGACCAAATTTGATTCAATAAAAGTGATTGAAATTATAATCACTCTCATTTTTATCAGGTATTTGATTCAAAATCAACATAAATATCCATATTATTCACTTTCTCTTTTCATCACCTCTTCTTGATTTCTTTTGTTCACTACGTTTTTTACTTTCCTTTTGTATAAAGAAATGCTAAAACTTTTGTATTTGTCCATGTATATCATCAGTAACAAAATTAAGATTGTCATGAGATAATTAATGTACTCCTTCAAGCATTAGAATGAAAAAAAGAGTATAAAGGAGGAGAGGGTGATGGAAAGGAACAAAGTTGATATTATAATCTTAAACAAACATAACACGATGTTAATCATCGTTCTGAACAAAAGAAAGGATAATTGCTACCTTAGAAAATACATATATTTAGAAAACTAAAATTACAGATTAATTAATGTTTTGACAACTTATTAAAATAAGTTAACCTAATTAGATTAGAGACAATACAAAATGGATATATATTTTTCCTTATTCACTAGCTAAATGGTGAATGTCACATAGCATCGGGAACAATCAGCCTTTTCATTACTACGTACAGATTGATTGCTATACGATGTTAATTATATCATCCACTAATTTCTTCCATATATATGCTGTAGCCAAAAAGGGTTGCTGCTGCATGTTAAGATTCACTGTAATATTTATGCAGGTGCCCATGGTGCCCAGTAATCACCTCCATTTTCACTTCCAACATGTTGGGTACAAGAGACAGGAACCAAGCACAACCCTCTACTCCTCAAGTCCTTTGGTTTATCTTTTGCATCCTGAATTATTGTTTTGATGAACAAATAATTAAATAGATTATAAAATGATAATTGATTAATCCTTTATATATTAAATGACATCAAAATAAAGATGCTAACGGTAATAATGATAATAATCATTAGGATGACACTTATAAAATATCCAAAATAATAATGAGTAAATGAAGGATAATACTAAAGAATACCTGGTTTGGAGCTCCCTTTCTTTTGAGGCCAGTGTCATTCAAAAGCTAAATGGAAATAAATAAATAAAGTATTAGTAATTTCACTTTTCTCTCCACCTTTTTTGACTTCAAAATGAGCAATGCAGCCTCGCATGCATTATGCTTTTCACTAGCTTTAAAAAATGGTATAGAAGGCTGAAAAACCTTATTATTTTTAACAAGCTTTTTCCATATATTTAATATTGTAATAATTGCAAAGAGCCTCCTAATTTGATTGTAATGAATTGATGGATCCAATAAAGCATATACCTGACCGGGGTCCTCAGGAAATACAGAATTTCTTTCTCCATATACCTGTTTTTTGAAAAGAAAAGAAACAAAAGGAGGAAACTTTCCCTTCAATTATATGTTTTTGTACATACAATTAATATAGTTATATTTACAAATTTTTTGTTTACAAACTGCATCTAGTATGATCGGTCATACTTTAATCAAGAATGTACGACCGATCATACTTAATATAATTTGTAAAAAAAGAAATTGTAAACGGATATTTTTTTTATATTTTTGTCATGCTAAAGTGTGTGTGAGAGAGAGAGACAGAGATAGAGGCTTTGGGAAATGGGTACTTACAGAATGTTGATTCCTTATGTTTTTCGATCCATTGCCCAAGTAAGGAGAACTGAGTGCCTGCAACCAAGGATGGGAAAAAAACAAAATTTTAAAACTTCCACGACTAAAGAATGTTTTGGAGAGAAGCATATCAATGTCGGTGCATGACACTTTATCACTAACTCTCACTAGCTTGCAGAGTATATAATTAAAATATGTTAAGAGAAACATCACCTCAATTTGACCCTGCAGGAATCTGATATATCCAATGGCTTCTAACAAGACAGAAGCTGTGTCAGTCTGCAAAAGTGAAACACACACACACACACCATAATCACAACTCTTCTTCAAAGGTTAAAAGTGAAATTACGATCATTGAGAAAAGATAAAGAGGTAAACATTAGTTGGACTTGGAACATATAGAAGGGTGGAAAAGAACTGTTCATCATGGGGTCTTCTAAAAACTAAAACCAAATACAAAGGCACTTAATTTTAATGGTTTATAGTATTGTATTTTGTATGTGTGTTTATTGTGTTTGTACGTAGTAATGGAGAAGTTGGTTTCTTACCTTTCCAAATGGAGAAACTAGCTGGTGAAGGGCTGTAATTCTATCACCTAGTTTCTCCTTCCTCACCTGATTCAAATTTCATTTGTGAAATTCAGCTCATGAATTCATATGTTTAATTTTCTCTCTTAATTTCAACTAGCTAGATATCATGGAATATTTCATTACCTTCAGAGGGGGTTGGCTTGAAGATGAAGGCTGACCCCTATTCTTCTTGCAAAGTCCAACAGTGGCTGTGCTATTAGACTAGAGAGCAGAATGGAAAGATGAAAATTAATTTGAATATTATATTATAAAGAGGATAATCTATGCATGCTTAAATTAGTATTCAAATGTGAAGGTTTTAATTAGATGAGATAAAAAATAAAAAATAAAAAGATATGAATAACAAGAACCTCTCAGTCTGGTATACAAAAAAAAAAAAAGAACCTCTCAATCTTACCTCAGATTTGTGATCTGGTAGTTGGTTCTTTCTATGATCTGCTTTGTTATAAGTGAATTCCAATAAATTATTACTGTTAAAGCTAGGGACACTAGACCTAGGGGAAGACACTGGCAAAATATGTGACCAAGATGACCCAGCTCCAGAAACCTGAAATTCCTCATGCCTATGGTGATATAAGTTGTTGCCACTTTGGGGAACCTCTTGCTTTATTACATCAACATTAATAGGAACTATGGTTGATGGATTAAAAATATGTTCATCCCAGTTTTCCAACTTTTTTGATTGAAAATGACTCAATCCCAGTACTCTCTCTTCTTCTCCCGGTAATCCAGTGCTGCAAAACAAATAGAACCAAGAAATTTTCACACCAACAAAAGGGAATTAAAAAAAAAAAAAAAAAAACTTGAACTTAGGTAAAAGAACTTATATAATTAATTGGAAGTACTTAAGCTGGAGCACATAAATAAATGTATAGTTCTTTGATTAACATCAGTAAGCAAAACTATAAAACAGTTTTTCAAACACTTAAAAAGACACAATATTTGATAACATATGTAATGATCAAGAAGCCACATAAAGGCACAAAGAAGAGAGAGAGGTGCTTACAAAAGAAGTTGGCTCAATGATTGAGGGTTCTCTGGATTATCTGTCAAAGAATTAAAAGGGATTGAAGAAGATTCAAAACCATACTGGGGAGGGATCAATGATGGTGGATGCATACTCCACCAGTTAGGATTCTCAGACATCATTTACTGAACTAAGAAGAATCTACACTACTGTGGAATGAAAACTCAATTCCTTCCTTCAAATTAACTTATAAGAAATGAAAACTTTAGTTTCTTTTTTCCCTTACACTTTTCCTCTTTCACCTTTGTGATATTTCCTTGTATGTGCACTCAAACAAGCCTTTGATTAAAGCTTAGAGTGTTCTGTTTTGCTTTCTTACTAGTTATTGAAGAAACTTAAAGTTTTGGGGTCTCAGTATTTTATAGAGTTGGGGTGGAGAAACTTTGCATATGTTGCTTTTTCTTTCTTTTCTTTTTTCTTTCATTTATTCAGTATTCCTTTTTATTATAAAGTGGAACGCAAAAGGTGGTAGGCAATGTTTTGAGGCAATAAATTAATGGTTACTGAGACTTATTTCCTTAATTTGGGGTTGCACCTTGGGATTGTTTTGGGGCTAGGGTTGGGGTAGATGTAGGGCATAATAGTATTGAGATCAATGTCAGATACTTTATTTATTCTCAGGAGCAATAATTCAATTTAACAAACAAACTACTGAATCTAAGTGGCTGATTAGAATAAGAAGACCAAAAGAAGAAATTGATAGAATTCTAATAAATGCTCAGTTGTATATATCTACAATATATACAAATGTTTAGTGAAAAAGTTTTTGTAAGAAAACTATTGTAGTGTCTAATAATTATGTTTCATGAGGGAAATTGATTAAAAAAATTAAGAATTAATTGAAAATACATAATAAATGTTTATTATTTTTTATTTCTGTTCATAAAGCGGTTCACAAAATTTATTTATATAAATCATTTAGCATTTTTCAAACTTAAATCATGAAACATGTTGAAGATTCTAATTGAAGAACTAGTACCATCAGTAAAATGTACAATATCAATTACGAAAATAACAAGTGAGAATCGACATAAATGTTTTTTTTTTCTTTCTTTCTTTCTAAGTTTACTGTATTATAAACCGATCGAGTCAATGAGTGAATATGATTCTACCCTCATCAATAGAGATAAATGACGCAAATTTAAGTATGGATATATATTGCTTATTTTTTTATATTAGTTGATCAGAGATTCGATCTTGTGGGGCCATGTAAGAGAGAAAAAAAAATTATGGACTCCAAATTATTTTATACAATATGAGAAATATTAATACCAAGATTTTTACCAAAAGTAATTTATACTAAAAGTAAAATAATTCAGTCACCAAAACTTTCTGTTATAATTTGTCGCTCAATATGGATGACAACATGTGCAAGCTAGGTCCAATTTGCAATCCTTATGCCGCATGGTTGGGATGATTTCGTCGAAAACCATTAGATATTATGTTTATAGGATGAATGTGTGTCATTTTAAATGATTTAAAGTTATGTCATTTTAAGTGAGAGAAAAAAATAAATCATTATGAAGAGAGAGTGGATAGAAAAAATAAAGATGTGAGTTCCAACTTTTTGTGAGAGTAAAATGACACAAGTTATGTCATTTAAAAGGACAAATAATTTTCCTTGTGTTTATTTTGTTGAGTATACTACTAAATATTTTAACAAGTAAAGATCAAATTATTAGTTGTTGCTAGGGGTGAAACTGGGCCGGCCCGGCCTACAGGGATCTACGGCTCGGCCTACATCAGGTCAGACTTGATCTAGTATACTTTGTAAAATAGGCCGGGGCTTGGGCTTTGAAAAAGTTTGTTTAATAAAAAGGCCGTAGGCTCACTTTCACAAGGTCTGGCCTATAAGCTGCAGGCTGGCCTATATTGTACTATTTATTTTAAATAAAATATAATATAATAAGTATGCCTTGAAAAAAAAAAATTTAAATTTAATCAATTACAATTATTTATAACTTAATTATATTTGATTATATTTTAATAGAAATATGACTTTATTTCTTATGTAGGAGGAACCAACATCTTAACATGTTACATTGTATTTATGAATATATTAAAAGGTTTTTGGGAGAGATTATACTTATTACAAGCAACATGATGCGTTTGTTGTGATTCATGATTCTGTTTGGACGTTGAAATTATGATTTTTGGTTTAGCAACAGAATTTGAGTATTTTGTAAAGTTGTTTCATGGTTCTGCTTGGAAGTTAAAAATTAACAGGCTAACGGGTTAGGCTAGGCTATTTATTTTTTTATAAACGAACCAAGCCAGACTAATAGTTAGACTCCTACTAGGTTTGGACCAGACCAAATTAAAAAAATTTGACGTAGGCTTGAGCTTTTCGGGGCAAAGCTTGGCCCAGCCCAGTCCACTTTCACCCCTAGTTGTTCCACTCAAATTAGACATAGATTAAGATTCTTTAAGCATATAATAGAAAGATCCCTATATACTTTCATGAGAATAAAAATTTGTTATCACGAGTTTGACACAAAAAAGAGAAAAAGATTGAGCAAAATAAGGCTTAATAAAATGAGAATTAGATTGACAAATAATGTGTCTTAAGATGGATGAGAGGAAAATTATCAGTATTGTGAAGGAATAGACTCATTTTTTCTATGGAAAAAACATCTATTTTTTTAAAGGATATAAGCTTATATCATTTTAGATTCTAAACGTTGATTTCCGTCCATCAACAGTTATAATTTATTGGGTCAAACTTAATGGGCCAAATTTATTATTAATTAATTAATAATTTTGATCCAATAAATTATAACCGTTGATGGACGAAAATCAACGATTATGATCTAAAATGATATAAGCTTATATCCTTTAAAATGATAGATGTTATTCCCTTTTTCTATATATGTTTCAGAAAGTTTCTATTTAGTTATTTTTCCTTATATTTCCCCTTCATTTCTTTATTTGGTTATTTAATTTATTTCCTCTCTATTTTATTTTTTCTTTTATTTATCTATTCTTATTTTTATTATTTAATTTTTTCCTTATCTATATTTTGATTTTCTTTTTTATTTTTCCTTTTTTTCCCGCAATCTTTCATTGCTTTTCATTTGGATCCATAAATTATCACTCCAATTAATTTAAGATAAATGTGTTATTGTTATTAACTCTCAAATTATATGTTGCGTACGGAAATCGCTCAGGTATTGTTCAGCTAGCTTTTCTGATGGTCAAAGTGTTTAAATCCATTTGGCATCTTTCTCAGAACAAGTTTTTTTTTTTTTTTTTTTTTTTTTCCATCACGTGAGAATCAATGAAAAGGAAAGATGATAGCCTAATATATGCAAAAGAAAAAGAAAATGTTGGTCTCATGTCAATTCCTTTTGGTTCGCTTTTTCTGCAGTTACTGCAGATAAATTATCTGCAGTAAGTTCAATACGACGTCGTTTTGGGGCAGAAATCATGGTATTTTTGTAATTTTAATTTATTTCAGGGTTATAATAGTCTTTATGTTTATAATTTTTTAAGATTTCAATATCAAAACGACGTCGTTTTGGGAATAAATGCAGATAAGCATCTGCAGAAATATTTTTCCCTTCTTTTTTACCTTTTAATTAACAGAAAAATATTTCTGCAGTTACTGTAAATAAATTATTTGTATTTACTCTCGAAATGATGTCATTTTAAGATTGAAAAATTAAATAATTATAATTATAAAAACGATAATAACTATGAAATAAATTAAAATTATAAAAATACTATGATTTTCATCCCAAAACAATGTCGTATTAAGCTTACTGCAGTTAATTTATCTGTAATAACTGCAAAAAAACGAATCTTTAATTAAAAGGTTGTGAATTCAACATAGCACATGTTATATACGACTGATCATTACAAAGATGAGATAAGAATTGGATGAGATGGATTCGTTTTGACCATTGGTCTTCCACTCAAGAATATTCAATAATAATCAGACGATAAGCTAAGTGATATCTATCAATCCCTTTTTATTCAATTGTGATCTTTTGCATAATCATACAGGAAACAACAAAAATGATAAAGAAAAAGTTGAAAAAGGGGTTGAGACTGAGTTTGACCGATTGTTGATTTTTTGTTTCTTGTTTTCTCTTTTTTTTTGTTCACGTGTGATAACTCCCGACAAATTTGAAATTGGGTCCTAGATGAAAATAAAAATAAAGATGTTAAATGAAAATAAAAATTTCCTTTCAAAAAAAAAAAAAAACATGAATACGGTACTCCCTCAAAACGAAAGAAAAATTACTTGAACAATAGAAGTGCACATTTTGCTATGATCAGGTGATTTCTCAGTCAAAAATACATCCTAGTCAAATGATTCTTGATACAACCTTTTATTGGAAAAGACAATCCAATTAATTGAGCTCAGCTTTCCACATCCTTAGATCTATGTTGTAGATTAAAATGGGAGATGAAGATCATTATGAAAATCTTATTAGCATCTTATTAATAATTTAGTAACGCATAATTAAATAATAACGTATGAAACAATTTAAACTGACAATGATCTAAACCCTTATATTAAATCCAAAAAACAAAAATCAATCCATAGCAAAATGGCTATATGGTGTTTATTTTTCCAAAACATCATAAATAGAACCGTTTGGTACATGACTTTTCTTAAGATTCCCGGAAAAATAATTTTTTCTAAATTTTAAATTTTCGGATATTATCGTAAACTGAATGTAAAAATCATATTTCTGAAAATCGAGATTCTTGGATAAAAAAAATTTTCTCGTCTACCAAACGCTCAATTTCTTGTATTTATTGAACATTGTATATAACGTCATGAGCCTTCATCAATAGCTTAGCTTTTAATTTTCTAAGAGAATTAATGTTCGATATGGAAAGACAATACATACGAGTTTGAACTTCAACTAATGACTAAATATAGAAAGCAAAGATATGTACGAGACGTCACTGAATGATAATTGGCACTCTTTAACCAAAAGTACAATTCATATAACATTAATCACAAAGAAATAGATAAAATAATGAAATTCATATAACATTAAATAAATAAAATTTTTTTAACTATAATAAATAATGTACTCAGTCTTCAGTCCCAGGAGTAATGAAAATAATTTTCTTAAATGATACATTGAGAGATAGAATACATCCCACTCAATCGAGTGAGTGATGCAGCGAAGAAATTTGATTTGTTTTTCCAAATTAAATGTGAATAATAAGGGAGAAACAAAATAAAGGGAAAAAAAAAAAAAATACCACCACAATGCTAGGCAGTGTATTATATGCTAATTCTATATATAGATTAAATGCTCCCTAAGCCTAAAATTATTTACTTCTCTCTTAGTAACAATCATTCCGAGGGGACACCACCATGCCTTTGCATAGCAACAACTGGTTCATTGCACCTTGAACACCTAAATGATGGGGCAGCAGCACATCGTGTCCGAAGACAGTAGTAACAATATCTAACAGAAACAAATTTTAAAGCATTGCTTAGCCCTTCTCTAATGAAAACCAGCTCAATTTGAAGCATGTATACATAAAGTTGAGATCTACAAATATTCCATAGCTATAAGTGCTTCCAAATTATCAAAAGGGGTGTCCAGTAAAAAGATTCTACCAGCATAAAATAAAGAGAGATGAGAGTACATATCTAGAGATGCACCTGTGCTGACAAGGTAGAGCAACAAAAGGAATGGTTGGTGTAGCCTGGCAAATGGGACATGCAGTGCCATCTTCGGCTGAACTTGATGATTTATCCTTAGAAAAAGGTCGAAGGAGATTTTTCACAGAAGATGAATTAAGAAGAGGAAGAAGCAATAACAGCATTTCCTGCCATCATAACCAGACATAATTTAGCTCCAAAGCATTACAAAATCAGAAGTGAAACATTCTTGCAAATTCAATTGTCATAAAATCCGGCGGGGCGCATCCAGCTGTTCCTTATGTCATAAAATTAATATCGAAAACAACTAATAGTGGGCCTGTTTGATTGTGTTTTGCTTCTTCTTTTTTTCTCCTTAAAATTGTTTTGTAGAGTAGTCAATGAAATAAGTACTTTCTGTATTTTTTTTTGTTTTGAAAGTTAAAAGTCAAAACACAAAACAGAAACAATAGAAATATGTTCTCTAAATTTGATTCTAAAAACTAAAAAACAGTTATAATTTTTAGAACTTTTACAGAACAGGCATTATCAAACAGTTTTTTGGTTCTAAAAATTTAAAAACTACTTTTGACAACAGAATTCAAACAAACCCAGTATCTCTGACTCTGAGGACGCAGCAAACATTTTTAGTAACAGGAATACTTATGTTTTAACTTGGATTAATTAATTTAATCAATAAATCAAGTTACACAGGTAACAGCACACTTCAAGAACCTCATATTAAATGGAAAATGAATAGCCAAGAATAACGCACTTCCCATCATTCTAAGCAGAAGATGGAAAACAATGCATACCAAGACTAGTGCCCAACATAAGAAGACCTTAATGCAAATAAAACCTATGTCATAAAAATTTCAAAAAGGAAAAGTATTTTACCCTCTTGACCTAGCAAGTTGCATTCAGTAAGGTACACCCACTTTTTTGTCTTTTAATGCAAATAAAATCGAAGTCATACAAAAAGGAAAAGTATTATACCCTCTTGATTTAGTAAGTTGCATTCAGTCAGGTATACCCACTTTCATATTCATTTGTCTTTTAACGCAAATAAAATCGAAGTCATACAAAAAAGAAAAGTATTTTACCCTCTTGATCTAGTAAGTTGCATTCAGTCAGATACCCCCACTTTCATATTCATTTGTCTTAAATAGTAAATAAAAGAAAGATATCATTTAACCCATCAGATTCTGCAAACTAGAACAAAGAAAGTTGACAAAGAGGGGGAAAAGTACCGAGAATTCATTCCAAACTAATTGTCGATTCATATACTCGAAGCTAACAGCACGATTCATATTTGGGCTCCCATATACAAGCCTTGCTCGTAAGGCTCTTTCAATAAGATTACGATATCTGCTTGACAATAGCACACAAAAAGAAGATAAGTTTTATAGAGCAGGTCAATCAAACTAAATGAAACCAATTATATGTTTGAAAAATATAAAAAAGATAAAAAGGAAATATTTCAAAGGACAAAAACTGAAGAAACAAAGTGGGTTGTGTGAATTGTCTGGCTGTTGAAAAGAATCACCTTCCCGTGCAAAGAAAAATCAACAGATTTCCAAATGAAGCAGCTCTGTAAATTCCTTCTATCCGTTGTAACAAGATCCATAAACGTCGTGCCAATGGTCTCTGAAAAGGAGGGGAAAAAAGAAGTCAAATTAGAGTTCGCTTCAATCCACACTTGCCTATAGGCTTGCAAGTTGGACGCATAGGGCTTAAAAAGGCCAACTCAAAAATAATACCTGCTCAGTATCACCCCATCTACGAAAAGCAGAGAAGGATTGTAAGCGAGCCCAGATATACTGACCGCCAACAGTGGCAAGACAATACCAAATCTTCTGAGCAACGGTGAGTCCAGGTCCCTCCAGACCAGTTCTGACTGAGTGGAATGTACCACAGAAGAATGAGAAATTAAGATTATTTAGATGAACATAGTACAAGGATGAACAACACTCAAATCAAAGCATATGGATCACCAAAAAAATTGTAAATTTTTTCCTCTACGTTATTGTTTTGTTAAAGCATGGAAATACCTCATAAAATTATGTAATTCAAAACTTTTCGCTGAGTGCTATATGACCATGATGCAGAGTACAAATAATCATATATTATGCTTATATTTAAGGTCAGTCTGAGAGAAATTACAAAACAAAGACTAGAAACACAAGTTTGAACATGTGTGCATTAAAATTTCTTATTCAAAAGCATCGACAGGATGTCATCAATTACACTTATTTCAGGGAACAATCACTAATAATGCTGGTAACAATGGCGATAGCAGGTGTGTTCCACAGAGTTCATTCTCTGTATTTAACCCTTGCAACTTACCAAATAGTCAATTAGACTTCAGAACCATCTCACAACATCAAAGACCTACTTAGCTAAATAGCGCAACAGACAGATAAGAATCAGACCTTCCTACCTTTATCTCTTGATTCCAGTGCTCGCTCATCTCTGTATCTCAGGTTCATGAGAGCAATGCCTGGAGTTGGTTTATCCACCCAAATTGAGAACCGCCAAATAAGAAACTCAAGGAAGGCATCAAGCTCCGCTTCATACTGAAATAACATTCCTGGCTAATCCCAAAAAATGTAAAAGAATTTGAAAGACTTTCATAGCATTTCCAAATTGGTAGTCAAATTATCATAGACATTCATTTTACACAATATCAAAGTTAAGCCATAACCGTACCTTCATTAAAGAGAACACTTTAACCAATTGTTCCTTCAACATGGCTGACATTTCAACGTCCAGTCTTCCTGCATCAACTTGGTTAACTCTTGATATAGAGATTGGGATCATTGACTGCAGAAAATCCCACACGGATAATAATTTAATCAGCAATGTTATTGCAATATCAAAATAAAACAATAATAATAACAACAAAAGTACAGGGGAAAGCAGATTAGGAAACACACTATGCATCATGCAACTTGATACTCAATCTTCAATTTGAAAATAAAAAATCATATTTTTATGTCATTAAACTATTTATCTCCTTGAAGCTTGCAGAAATTCAGCACGTATCTCTGGTAAGCTCCATATGGAACGAAAATTTCTTCCATAAAAATCCAGCCCATGAAACAAAAAATATATTAATTTTTTTTTTTATCATTAGGGGAAAGGTTCTTCCAAAAAAAAAAAAAAAAAAAGGCCCAACAAACAATAATCAATCAATAAGGAAATAAGGTTATGAAGATGAATTAAGAAAAGGTGGGAAAACCCTAATTTACAAAATAGAAGATTGAATGGTAGTGGAAAGGACCTGATGAGAGAGGGAAAAAGATTCCCAGCGAGGGAGCAAGTTGTGGCAAGTGAGAGTCCAAGCATCTTGTGGAGGGAGACTACTGCTACTACTCATAGCCGTTGATGATGATGATGATGAAGAAGATGAAGAAGATGAAGAAGAAGAAGTTGGTGGGTTTTCTCTGTCCATCCACCACCTCTGTTCGGAGATTAGTTCTAATACTGTTCACAAAGCGGTTCAAGGCAATGTTGCATTTCATCTCTTCATTTTATTTTATTTTTTATTTTTTCATTATCGTCATTTTTTATTTTTTTACTTAAAAACATTATAAATTTTATTTCTTTTACCCAAAATATACACAAAATGAACCGTTTAAATTATTTTAAATTCTTTTCCACTCAAAACCTACCAATCAAAAATTTAATTTCACCCGAATAAAAAAGAGAAAGATTATATTTACTATTTTTGACTATCAAATTTTAATTGTTAATTTTTGTCAATCTAACAGTTATAATTTATTGGATATTTATAATTAATTAATAAATATGATGCAATAAATTACAATTGTTAAATTGATAGAGATCAACGATTAAGATTTAGTAATAAGAAAAAAAAATAGTAACTATAACCTCCCTCGGTAAAAAAAAAAATTGCTTGAAAATTTTAACCTTGCGTCTTGCAAAATCCTTTAATTTTCCACTAAATTTTCAGATTCTAAACCATTCAAATAATTTATCAAATTCATCTCAAACCCTAAGTTATTTTAAGTACGAAATGAGTATTTGGATTTTAAGCAGAGAAAAACTGCAATTTATTATAATTAGGGAATTAAATTCGAATAAAAAAATATTGAGAGATTAAAATAGCATAGATAGACCAAAAATGTGATTAATTTTCTTAAAATTAGACGGTAGATGTCCGTTTACTTTTTGAGACCATGATCTTATTATGTCTCCAATTTCATAAAATCTTATTATATTTTTCGGTTTTAACATGGTTTTGGACTAATTTAATCACTTGAACCAATATAAATACTCACCAAAGGTTTACCAGCCCATTTTTTGGTTTGCTTTTTATAATACTTGGTATAAGAAATAAGAAATTATACACAGGGTAATTTTTCTCTTATTTTAAGAGCGAATGTTTGCCCTTCTATTTAGGGTAAAATGCACACAAAGAATGGATCTTATAAGATTTCAATCAATCATAATATTAATAAAAAAAATTGCAAAATTGCAAAATTATTCATTCATAAATTAACCGTCACAATTTTAATATAAAATAAGAGAATGAAAATTATCACTCTACCTATTGGCTATTGATCATAAAACATGATTACACAAAATCAAATGTATGTTTAAAGCTAAGGTAAACCGAGAATTCAATTAAACAGAAAAACAGAAATATTTGCGTGTCATTCATGACTTGATGCAATACATTGTAATCTGTAACAATCTAGATTTCATATTAATTTCATGAGAAATTCTTTAATATTCTCAAAATAAGAAAAATATTTTGCTCTATACACTTGTTACTGAATCCTCTTGGCAGATTTTGTATCTAGTGTTGTACCATGTATCTCGTAATCTAAAAGGTTGATAAAAGCCAAGTTCAAAATATTCTAAACCAACAAAAAAAGGTTGATAAAAGGAGACAAGTTTATAATACGCAATTTATAAAATAAGAAAAGGAAACTTAGATTTGAGTTTTATTTATTTTTCTACATTAATTTAAATATTGAGTTTGAAAAAAAAAAAGAAAAAAAAGAGAGTGTAGTCCCAACATAATACTAAATAGCTATTGAATAATTATATAAAAAAAAAAAATCAAAATTTTACAAATTTCATTGAATCCTGAAGGGGTCAAATTTGGCCCTAAAAAACTTGTTGGATTCATTTTGAAGCTCTTCCGCAAGAGCCTCTTCCCCAAAACTCTTGAGCCCATTAACCAAAACCTTAACCACATACTCATCGGGCTCAACAACTGTGGCCCACCCATTACTCTTCATCAACTCGTAAATCCTGACCGTTGATTCTCTTCTCCGAGCTTCAACGACGGCCTTGATCAACTTCACAAGTCCCTTAGGATCATCACACTGGATCCCATTCCCATCCTCCAATTCGAGGATCATACGGTCCACATCCTCCAACATGCCGCTGGTGGATAAGGCCTGCAACATCTCGGCGTAGAGGGATAAGTCAGCGCCGTATTCAGATCGAAGGGTTGAGAAGACGCGAACGGCGAGGGTGCAGTTTTGCTGGCGTAGGAGCTCATGCAGGGTAGCAACGAGGTCTTTTTTTAAGAGGCGCGTGAGGGTGTTGGAGAGGAGTTGGGAGAGGTTCGGTGGGTTGGTTCGGTGGAGGCGTTTTAGGGTTTGGATGGCTTGGATGGCTTCAATGCTAAGGATTCGACCTTTCACCAGAGGTCCACGCTGGGAACGTGGTCCACCGCACCGCACCCGAACATAGCCCCAGCGCGTGGCGGTGGCGGAGGGGGGCTGAATGTGGGGTTTAAGAAAAGTAGTGTTTTGGTTGAGACAAGAAGAAGCCATCGCTTATGAACACCAACACCTGACTCCAACCAGAATAACAAAGCTTATCTAAAAGCTTATTAGACTCTATCTCCAAAAAAGGAAAAAGGAAAAAAGCTTATTAGACTCACTCCATCAAGATGGACTGTTGGATACTCAATAACGGGCCTTGCCTTCGAGAGGCCCAAATATTGTCCAAAGCCCATATATGTCTTCTTAATTAACTGTCATTATTGCGATAATTTTATTTTTTACACATATTTTTATGTGTGTGAAGCTCACATGGGACAATATAAATTGAAGAAAGAGAAAAAAAAAATATAGGTTCCATATTTTGTATGTGTAATAAAACATAAAATTATCCTTATAATAATAGAAATATTAGTCATACACGAGAAACACTAATGTATTGGTTTGGTGTGAATATATATAGAAATTTTTATTTTATTTTATTTTTTTAAATTTTCAATTATTTTATTCTATTTTTCGGGAGAAGAGGGGGAGGAGGTGGGGGAAGGGGTTGGATTTTTATTGTTGATTTTGTGAGCTTTCTTGTTAACATAACTGATCTTGCTTACTTCCTACCTCACACTATTCAATATCCAAGATTTGTTATGATCAATGAATTTCATCTTTTTAACCATAATATTTGCTCGTTGATTCTGTCACAACTTATGAATGATTTCAATGTGTGTATAACTTTCTTATATGCCAAGACAAGCTTCTAACTTGTGATTTGCGACTTCTCATTGAATCTTCTGATTACAAGCACAATCATTTTTTTTCTTTGATCATTGTTCCTTGCCTAATACTGATAACTTGTCCCTACAGAATGTTCACCGAGTCATGTAAGAGACTAAGGGCCAGCCAACAGGGTATATCTCTATGATGGTATTATTGAACATAAAGTCCTTGGATTCCCATTTCTAAGCACTGCCTGCCACTTTTTTTGCATTTTTCAGTCTTCTATATGGTATTATTGAACAGCTAATTATTGACATTTTGCATTAACTCTTCCATTGCACCAAGTCACTAAACCATTATTCCCATGGACAATTTCAAAATAATTCTAAGTTACGGGTTTTTCAATGTATCTGCTTTAATCGTGACCACTTTCATTTTCTTGATCTATGTCAGCAATTTGCAGTGTTATAAGGGTCTCAACTTCTACATAGTAATTAATGGCAGTGGCACACTAGTCCTTATGGCATTCAAATTAAGTGAACCCAGAAAAGTAAACCTTTAGATATAATAAAACACTTCTGCACACCACCAACCTCTTGAATTTTTCACCCAACAACGATTGACTCTCGCACGCTTTACAATTAAAGTAAAAACATAGAAAGCCTAGAAGAAAAGAAAAGAAAAGAGAAAGAGATACAAAAGAAAGAAAAGCAAGAGTTGTTTTTCCTCCTTTTTATTATAGAGGAACATGAATTACTACTTATAGGTAATAATCTCAAATAAAATCAAAATTCAGTGGAAAGAGGTGCATGGTCAGAGCGCATGAACACATTGCCATAGATAAGGCCAGCCAAACCACCACCAATGAGAGGTCCAATCCAATAGATCCAGTTGTCATGGAAGTTACCACTAACAACTGCAGGGCCAAAGGAGCGTGCTGGGTTCATTGACCCTCCAGAGAAAGGCCCTGCTGCCAAGATGTTTGCACCAACAATGAAACCTATTGCAATGGGTGCAATTGTCCCCAATGATCCTTTCTTGGGGTCAGCTGCTGTAGCATACACAGTGTAAACCAAACCAAATGTTATGATGATCTCAGTAACAACCCCTTCAAAAACTCCAACTCCGGATGCCACACTGTGAATGGGAATTGTCTGGCAAGAAAATAACACCACTTCAGTTTATAATCTTAACAAAAATGAACTCAATATTATGATATTTTTCTGTTATTGGACTTTTTTTTATTATGTAGTATTAAATTAATGGAGGGTATTTTATTTACATTTATATTATGCCCCGTCTTACTCGTTATCAATGAAATTTGGTCATTGGATTTTCAAGCTACTTACTAGTTGAATGTCATGGTTCAAACTAAAATTAAGGGTTTATACTAAAGACTTAAGTAACTACCCAAGAGTTTTTGGTTCAGTGGCGTTCCAGCTAGATCCCAAGATTTGATCCGCTCAAAAGATAGTTAGTTCGATTCCCAAAAATCGCAATTTCTGAGAAGGCTGGAGAGGCTCAAACCCAAAACCGGATCAGTGGAGCCTTAGAACTTCGAACGCCGGTTGGTAATAACCAAAAGAATTAGGTAACTGTATGGTTCCTATAATAGTACGATGGATAGCGAAAAGGCATATGCGCCCTTGGTTTATGCAAGAAACTTGTGGTGCAAGGAAGAGATTTTCCATTTAACCATGTTGATCCCACAAGTGATGGAATCATATAGATGGGTTCAGTTTAAACTTACCAAGCCTCCAGTGACAAACTGGAGAAGAAAACATGCTACAATGGAGCCAAGAAGCTGTGCAATCCAGTAGAAGATACCAGTGAGGATGGTGATCTGGCCACCAAGAGCCAATCCAAAAGTCACAGCAGGGTTGACATGGCCACCAGAAATGTTGGCACCAACAGAAACAGCAACGAAGAGAGCAAAACCGTGGCAAACTGCAACTGCTACTAACCCAGCAGGATCAAGAGCTGCATCTGATGTCAACTTAGCTGCAATTAAAGAGAAAGAAAAATCAGACACATGTTGAAAATAAGTAAGCAGTATGATTTCATAATGTTATGTAAACTTCTGCATGGCAACAACTAAAAACAATAAATAAATAAATACTCTTTGTTTCATCACTTTTCATTTATTTTTAAGGATTGTTTTATGTTGAGAGAGATATTAGGTTCAATTCTCTTGTAAAGCAGAGAAAACTAACCATAGGCTATGGCTGAACCAACACCAGCAAAAACAAAAAGCAAGGTTGAGATAAACTCAGCAATATAGGCCTTGATTGAGCTCAAACTGAAAGAATCATCAAAGCGTCCGAATGCTATTCCAGTCATGTTCACAAGTTTCTAGAGGAACTGTTTAAAGATGGGGGTTAGGATAAGGTAAGGAAATGTTTCAAATAAGAAATATGGCACAAAGGGCTTCTCTGGTGAGTTATATATATACCGCAAAAGTTGTCAAAAACACAGTATTAATAAATTAATGGGAAAAGTGTTAAATGACACAACTTGTGTCATTTCACTTTCACAAAGAGGTGAGACTACACCTTTATATTTTTTTTGTCCATTCTCTCTTCTTTTTTATCTATCTTTTTCTCTCAATTAAATTGATACAACTTTACATTCTTTAAAATGATACACACGTTCCCCTAAGTTAATTGCAAGTTATACTACTATTTTAGTGTATGTTTTTATTGTGATAAAAGGGGAATATGGCTCTGTCATGTGTCCAACATATCCATGCAGATCCAATGAGGTCTTTTACTGGCAAACTTAGTTGTGTGGGCTTGCTTTATTAGAGATGTCTGGAAGCTAATGAATGATTTCTCCATGTGAGCATAAGAGAATGGGGAAGTGGTGGTGTTTGGTGGGGTAGAATGTGAAGGAAATAATCATAAAAGAAAAGTATGAGTGGAGAACATGAATAGCCTTGGGCCACATATAGCACCGCCCATGGTCAAAAAAACTGTAAAGAGGTTGTGGAATTTGAAAATGAGTGACACAATTTGGTTGGTGTTTATAATTTTAACGAATTAATATGTCGCATATATGGTTGGTTAGGTCTATATTACGGAAAAAATGGTCGGCTAATGGGTGCTAATTAAAGAAATATTTATGGGCCTTTTTGGCACTTCTATTTGTTAAAAGCTTGAAAAAGGGTTTGATTAATTATGATTATGTCATTATTAATTTATGGAATAGAATATGGGGCAAGTTATATTTACAAACTTTTTTATTTACAAACTACACTATGTAGGACCAGTCCTACATTAATCACACAGTGTACGACCGGTCCTACATTAGTGTAATTGCAAAAAAAATTTGTAAACGGATCCTGTCCCATAGAATATTATGCTTATTTTTTTTCATGTATACTCTACTTGCTCCTTTCCAATATCGTTAAATTAGAATCTCGACCTTTATTATTTTTCTCTCCTCGTGATATTGGATATGATTAAATAAAGTAGGCATGAAAAGAGGTAGGCATAATTAATTATTGGGAAAACATTTTCTTCCTTTAAAAGAGAAAAATTTTCTCTATTAGTGACTCATAACATAAGTGGGTTCTATCTTGAATATTTTTTTTCTCCACTATTTTGTAAGCCCCACTTATACTTGCGTCGCTAGTAGGAGAAAAATTTTCTCCTTTAAAAAGTGAAAATATTTTCCCTTAATAAAAATTCAGAGTAAAGCACAAATGACTCAATTGCAGCAGAAAGCGTTCTATGTAATGCTGATAAATTTTCCAGAAAGTATCATTTAGATCAGGCGTAGCAGGTACATACGACGTTAATCAAAGTAGTTTTGTACCTGATGTACTTATATGTGAAGATGAGATTTTACCATAGAATGGCATAGCAGCAGCACTAGTTTTTGTCCCAATTGCTGGTTATAAGTTAGGGAAAAGTGTTTATCTTTTTTAATGACACAACTTATATTTTTTCACTTTTATAAATGCATCTTTTCACTCTCACAAAGAGGTGAGACTCATACCTTTATATTTTTTTGTCAACTCTCTCTCCTCCTTTGTCTATCTCTTTATCTTTCTTAAAATGACACAACTTTACATCCTTTAAAATGACGTACATTTTTTCTCTATAAGTTATTAATTATTTGGAATCCTTATCTAAATAAGAGGAAAATGTGTATTACTTTAAAGGATATAAAGTTATGTCATTTTAAGTGAGAGTAAAAGATAGATCATGAGGGAGAGAAAGTGAAGAAAAAATAAATAAAGGTGTGGATTCCACTTCTTTATAAAAATGAAATAATACAAGTTGTGTTATTTAAAATAATAAATATTTTTTCCATAAAATAAAGCCACCAGTCAACAGAGAATAAGAAACATGGATAAAACATAGGTCATAGAGCATTTCTTTAAGGGGCTGTTTGTTTCTAGGATTCTCAACAGATACATAGATAAATGAGGAGTGGGAAAGTAAGAAACCTTCGTTTGGTTGGATGGGTTTGTTGACTTATGTAGGTAAGTGTGTTTGCTGTGTTTCTGATTTATCTATGTATCTTTCCTCAACTTGCCGGCCAAAGTTGCCCTTTTGAAGAGTGGTATTGTGAAACACCTCTACATTTGCTCACTTACTGTGCTAAGCTAAAGACCAGCGTACCCTTCTGAATGACGCGAAAATGACAATGACGTAGCTTCACTTTTTGTCCATTTCTTTAGAACCTGTACTTGCCAAAGACCAAGAATAGCACACGGACACTTTTTGTCTTGCTTTTCATTCAAAAACTTATTAAAGTCAGGGCTAATTTTATAAACTCACACGCATTTTCCCATCTATATTTTATTAACAGCCAAACATAGACTTTATAAATGTTACCATATTTTCTCAGTAAAATTTTTTCAACCAAACAACTTTTTTTTACATTTTCCTACCAATCTTACTTCCCACCCATTTCCCTATACATAATATTTCCCTATCATTCATAATATTTCTCGTCAACCAAACACCCCCTAAGAGTTTTACTATTCTCTGTCATAGAAGATATTATTTTTTACGTAGAGTGAAAAATGACATGGATTCCATTTAATTTTTTTTTCTTTTTTTTATTTTGGTGGGTTTCATTGTTGGTTTGTGAGTGCAGTAGGAGAGAATAAGGGTGTTCGCGGTTTGGATTGGATCGGTTTTGGAAGCAAAAATCATCCGATCCAATCCATTCGGTTTGATCATATAATCATCCATTCGATTTTGATTTTTTTTCAAATCCGATCCGATCAAATCCAATTTTTTTCGGTTTGGATTGGATCGGTTTTTGGTTTTTTGAAAATTTTAAAATTTATTTCATGATTATTGTGAAAATAACATCTTTTGTATATATTGCCTTTGTAAATTTTTTTTTTGAAATACAAAAGCATTAGTAAACTATAATATAATTTTTTTAATTTTGGAAATGAGATATAAAGCTCTACAAAAATAAAATTTTGTTGATGAGATATGACTAGATTTTTTCTTGAGTTTAGTTGATGGGTTAATGGGTCTTGGGTTTGGAAATTTTTAGGCTATGATTAGGGAAATACCCAAGTAGGTAGAGGAAAATTAATATATTGGATCGGTTTGGATTGGATCGGTTTTCATCAACCCATCCAAAAACCGATCCAATCCAATTAAAATTTGCGGTTTTTAATCGGTTTTCGATTTTTTGGTTTTCGGTTTATTCGGTTATCGGTTTTTCGGTTCGGTCACCGCGGTTTGAATCGGTTTGGATCGGTTGATGAACACCTCTAGGAGAGAACAATTTTCCTATAAAAAGAGAGTAATAAACCCCTTTCTTTAATCGGAAAATGATTTATACTTCAAAAAGCAGAAAAACTTGTTTGCCATAGAGAGATAAAAGCAGTGGCCTCATTTTTTTTTTCTCTCTTATTCCTCTGTGTTTTCTCTCTCTATCAATTTGTCTATGGGGCATAGACAAATTTATCTTCTTTTGAAGTAGAAATTATATTCCCTTCTTTAATTTCTAATTTCCTCACTTGTTTGTACATATATCATAGAGGAATAATCCGTTCATAATTTTTTTTTACAAATTACACTAAGTATGACCGATCATACTTAGTGTAATTTGTAAGAGTTTGTAAACAAAAGATTTGTAAATATAATATTCTCCTACATCATAACTTCATAAGTAGTTTAGGAAAACTTACAGATTCCCTTCCCTTCCGAATTTTGCGTAGACTAAGTTCTATTAAAAATTGAGTCCCACATACTAATGTCATGCAGAATAATTGGATGTCCTGTGTGTTATAAAAGTATCATCTTTAACTAATGGACTCGAAAAATTCTTCATGCTGTTTTACATGGAAAATACTGTGGAATAATATTATTTCATAAGGAGTTTTATTTTTCATTAAAATTAATGACTTATATCTTTAGAATTCAACTTGAGAAATCTCCTATAAATGCTTTGTATGAGATGCATTGCCAATGCAATAACGGATCTTAGTAGCAGACAACAAAACATGCATGGAAGTGGAAAACAATCAAAATATATATATATATATATATATATATATATATATATATATATATGAAAAATATTTTTCTCATTTCGTTGGAGATAACTATCTCATTTTATACACTCATCAAATTTTGTCCCAGCTTTTTTCATTTCTTTTTTCTTTTGTTTTAAAGTGTGGACCCCACATATTTATCTTACACACATGAGAGAACTATCTCAAGCAACATGAGATTAGTAACTCCCTATATATATATGGGTTTTATAATTCTCCTTCTACATGAGAATTATAATTTTCCTACACACCCTTCGATTTCCGTGTTGACATGGGTCCTACATATAATTTTTTCTAACACATGAATCTCACATGTTTTTTATCTCTATAACATGAGATTTCAACTATCATTCAACATAAAAATTATAAAACCCTATATATATATAAATATATTTCAGAAAAAGGAGGCCAATAATAAGTAAATAATCATAATATAATGAGAGAGTTGATGTTTAAAATATGTTAAATGTGGGAAGGTGTACAACCATGTAAGTGAATCAACCCATAATTGATTGTTCTAGTTTTTCAACTTAAACGCTAGTCTTGAGTTCAAGTTACTAAAATGCAACTGGATTAAAATTTGGTAAGGAAAATTTTGACACTCAATCCAACTCGAATCGAACTAGTTGAATAATAAATAAATCAAGGGATTTGCATTTGTCATTTAACATGACACAACAAATTTTCCTACACACACAACATTTTGTGGAGCCCACACTTTTTGAAGAAAAAAGAAAAAGAAAAAATTACGGCACGCAAAATGAATCTCTATAACATTACGCAATCACTTTTCCTACAACATAATTCTTATAAAATCCATAAATCAATAGATAATATTCAAAAAAATGGAAAGGCGTGTGTTATTACAATAACTTCTTGGGTTTCCTTTGGACTTTGGAGAACTCATCAGCTGATGATTTGGCCCAAAGTTCTCAGATGGGCTGTCCTGTGCATAGTGAGTTTGGGCCTGCCCATCAGACTTTACTTGTAATGGCAAACTGTATTCTCAAATGTAGATTAAGAATAAGGCTTGCTCAAGAAAAAAGCCCTGTCAGCTATGACATAGGGTGCAATTGAATTCCAAAACCAAATTGTTTAATTGAACAAAAAGGAGGGAAGTGGAGGACGATGGCTATGCACATCTCAGGTTTCAGAAGAATGCAAGCAAAGAGTAGGTAGTATGTAGTTGTATTATATCAGATGTTTATGAAAAACGTGTTACTTTGAATTGAATATTTACACTGTCAATTATTTTTATTGTCAATACTATCATTTTAATACAACTATATATATTTCAGAAAATACATTAAAAGTTATTTTTCGTTTGTTTCTCTTTAAAATATTTTCAAAGATTATCGGCTAAAAAATGGGTTCCAATGGTGATTAAAATTAAGGGTCTAAATAGATTAGGCTAATTCAGGCTTTGACTAAAATAGGTCATGACTATATAAAAAAACCTCTAACCTAGCCTGCCTGATAGCCTGTGTAGGTCGAAATTATAAGTCTAACCTATATAGGCCACAATTATAAGTCTAATCTAATTTATATTTAAAATATAAAAAGTCTTTGCATAGACCTGTTATTCTGTTTATGCCTATTAAACCTTCAATAATTACAAAAAAATTAAAATAATATTACTTTATTATTCAAAATTATTAAAATAATAATTTTTTTATTTTATTTTAAATAAATAATATGATAAAGGCGCTGTAGGCTTATAGGCCCGACATGTACAAAAAAGTCTATGTCTTACTTTCTAAATAGATTTTTTAAAAGCCTAGGCCCTGTTCTATTTAACTTTTTATAACACGCCAAATTTAACCTAATATAAACTAGGTCGTAGGTTTTTGTAGGCCGATCTAACCCATTTACATTCCTAATTAGAATGATAGTAAATTTTGATAGTATAAATAATTAAGGAAAATAATTATTTCATTTGCAACAGAGACAAAGTAGTAGGGTTCACTATTTTTTTTTTAAATAATGGACCCCAATATTTTGTCTTTGTTGCATCAAATAATTATTTCATCTCACATGAGATAAATAGATATCAATAATTAATGGGTAAACAACTTCTCCTTTCAAAGGAGAAGTTTTTTGTTTGCAGCTAAGTTAATTTTTTGGTGGATCCATTCATTGTTTTAGAGAAAACAAAACAAAAAAAATATCACACATTTCAATGCTAGTGGAATGTGTCAGCTGCACCAAAAAACTTCTCCCGGAGAAGTTGTTCCCATAATTAATAGTATAAATTATTGTTCTTCTACCAACTTTTCTAACTTTTGGGCACGTAGCTCGTCCTTTCCCAGACGATGCATGGAAAACGTGTATACAAAGAACATTTAAAAATCAACTAATAACTAATAAGCATTACATAAGTAATTGATATTTAAAATAAAAATTATATCAATTTAATTCATTAATCTTAAAAATAATATCAAAATTATCATTTTCAAATTAAATTAATGTCAATTAAGTTAATTTTTATTTTTATATTACTAATAAGTTAAATTAATATCAAGTATTTTTTAATAACAATTAATATCAACTTACTTTTTTTTTGGAGATAAAAATAATAATTTAATTTTTATTATAACACTATAATTTATGAAGTGCCGGTGAATTGAAAGAAGTCCTTGTATTATCAAAATACTAGACTATTTTAACAAAAATAGAACTTATTACATTGGAATAAATAAGTGTCCTTGTTGTAGAAATAAAATTCCTCTCACATAAGTGAGAGCTCGATTTTCGTATCAATATTTTTTATTTTTTAAAAAAAAAACTAATAAGCCCACTTGGTTGTATGTGTAGAATAAAAACTTCTCACGTGAAAAAATGCAACCCCTGTTACATTATATAATTGGGGTAGGATATTGTAATAATTAATTAGAGTTATTATTAATGTTACTACTAATTAATTTTATCATTAAATCGATTATGTTGATCCAACAGTTATATTTATTTCTATCTTTGTATGGTTATAATTTCTCATATTTTACGTAAAAACATTAAATATAAGAAATAATAACCATACAAAAGTGAAAATAAATATAAAGTATGAGAAATTATAACCATATAAAAATGAAAATAAATATAACTGTTGGATCAATATAATCGATCTAACAGTGAAATCGATTGGTAGTAACATTGATAGTAATCCTAATTGGTTGATACAATATCCTTCCCTTAATAATTATACAAATGATAGATTAAAATCAGATATTATTTAATAAGAGTTGTGTATACACATTAATTTTTTTTATATTTAATAAAAGAACAAAGTTATACTTATCATCTATTTTCATTTATAATTTCTTACAATTATATCTTAACAGTTGATTTTCGTCAATCAACTATTATTATTTTTTATTTTTGCAAAATCAACAATAAGATATGATTATAAGATGTTGTAAACAAAAATAAGTTGTAAGTATAATCATTTTGATAAAAAATATATTATGGGATCCGTAGATCCTTGAAAATATTAAATATTTTTCAACTCGTGTATAAATTTTTCTGACAGTATTATCATAATATGTATGAATTTTTTGTGGGGACAATATGATAGTCTTTATTATGTGTGTTTTTTTACACAGAGGAAAATATGCTAACGTGCACCGCGAGCGCACTGGAGGCATGTCTGCTCCTTCATCCTGATATTTGTTGCCACAAATCCCAAATCTCAAAATTCTGTGTTTTCGAATCCTAATAATCCTTTTGAGGCACGTTTCTGATTCGATTAACCACAGAAAAATTTGCGATTTTTGAAACTCCTGATTAGGGTGGGTTTCATTGTTTTGTTGGGTTGTGATTTGGGGAGAAAAAATGGAATCGAGTCGAAGAGCGGTGGAATCGTACTGGAGGTCGCGGTTGATCGATTCAGCTACGTCCGATGAAGATAAAGTCACACCGGTTTACAAATTGGATGAAGTCTGCGAGCTTTTGCGATCTTCGCATGCTAGTATTGTGAAGGAGGTCTCAGATTTTGTCTTGAAACGTTTGGAGCATAAGAGCCCAATCGTAAAACAGAAGGTACAATTAACAATTGTTGTTTTTGGTTTATGTTTCCTTCATGGAATTGGATGAGCTGGATCTGGGTGGATCAAAGTTTTGATTTTTGATTTTTGTTTTTTTTAGGGGTAGTTTTGGTAGTTTTTGAAATAGGATAAAAGAGATAGTTGGAATCAGCTTTGAGTAACGTGATTTTGATAATGCATACTTTTCTATCTTTAGTGCAATCCAGTGTTGCATTGATTTGTGAGGAAAGAGTTATCTGTCTTTATATGTTTCTGACACTGGAATGGAGTTATCCTCTAAGAACACTACCTTCCAACCTAAATTGAATTGTTGTACTTGTCCTTGAATTTGCATGATTTATTTATAACTTTAATCACACATCCTTTATTATTATACGGTAGAAAATTGGAAGTGGGGAAGTATAAAAAGGATTATACTGTATTTCAGGTTCATATATCATTTGTCTAAACTCGTTTTGCTCTGTTCCTTTTTCTTTTTTTTTTGAATGTTGGCAGGCTTTAAGATTGATAAAATATGCGGTTGGAAAGTCTGGTGTAGAGTTCAGAAGGGAAATGCAAAGACATTCAGTTGCAGTTCGTCAGTTGTTTCACTACAAGGGACAGTTGGATCCTTTGAAAGGTGATGCTCTAAATAAGGCTGTGAGAGACACTGCTCATGAGGCTATTTCTGCCATCTTTTCAGAAGACAATAAGCCAGCACCTGCTGAAGATGTAACCAGGCGGATACAAGGGTTTGGAAATACAAACTTTGAAGCACCGTCGGAAGAAAAGAAATCTTTTATTAGTGAAGTAGTTGGTATTGGAAGTGCATCAATTAAGCAAGGACTTAATAGCTTAACGCAGGGACATTCACTGAAGAAGAATGAAACTGGAAGCTACAAGAGTCCAAATCTTCGAAGGTCATTGACCATTGAAACAGAACATAACGACAGATATGAACCAGTTGCGTATCAAAACGAAAGTCAGAGTAGTTTTGGACTTCCGAGGAATCAATCTAGTGGTCCTTGGAATCAGGATTCAAGAGCACCTAAGATGGAAATATCAAATGGGGAATCTGGTTCAAGTTATTCAGAGAGTAAGACAAGAGAGGATAGGTTGCTGGAGACAATTGTAACTTCAGGAGGTGTTCGCCTACAACCCACTCGAGATGCCATTCAAGTTTTCCTAACAGAGGCTGCAAAGTTGGATGCCCTGGCTTTATGTCATGCCCTTGAACAAAGGCTCCAGTCTCCAATTTGGCAGGCATGTCTGTTATGTTGATGTTTCTGCAAAAATATAAATTCTCGCATGAAAATCCATATGAATAATTCAAACTTCCACTTTTTTATTTAAATGAGTTTTTAAATTTTGTAGATTAACTTTCATTTTCTGGTGGAACTTAAACATCTTTTCTGGTGGAAAAACATTTTAATTTTGAATGAGTTTTATATGCATTTTAATGTAAGCATGTATATCCTTTTTTTCCCCCATAGTATTATTAGACCTTGCAATCTTGCATGCGTCAGTGCACATACAAGTGAAGACCTTGAATAGTGCATTGTTAATTATCATTTTTGTTAAATGGTTTCATATTGCATATATTATAATGCAATGTCATATAAAGAATTCTTAAAAGGTCCTGCTGCATTACTTTTTTTTTTTTTAATTTCTTACGAGAATAATATTTTCAGGTTCGCATGAAAGCTATTTGTGTCCTTGATTCCATCCTTAGGAAGAAGGATGATGATCATTTTTCATGTATGGCATCTTACTTCACTGAAAATAAAGATGTGGTGCTGAGATGTTCTGAATCTCCCCAGGCTTCTTTGAGGGAAAAGGCTATCAAGGTACCCCTTTAATCAATCTGAATGAATAAGTACTACATTAAAATTTCATCTACTCATTCATTTTCACATTTTAAACTTATTTCAATCCAGTTTTAATGTGAATAAGTTACCTCGTGCTGCAGTAATGAAAATGCCGGTGAGCTAGGAAGTGGAAAAATTGGTCATTTAGAGTCCATAAGTTGGCAATATATATCACTAGTTTGTATTAAACTTTCGATTATATATTTTATGTGATAAGGTTAGACTGCTTAGTAATGTCAGCCCAATAAGTTTAAGAGAAACTTTTGTAATTTAATTTAGCACTTGGCCCCTTGATGGACAGGTACTTGGTCTACTAGGCGGAGGCCAGCCAAACAGCTCTGCTATTAATTCAGAGAAGGCTGTGAAGACAGAGAGTGCTACAGTTTCTGAGTTGCCTGACTTGATAGACACTGGTGATTCAAATGATTATGACATAATGGACAACACTACAAAGAGTACAAATGATGAAAATATAGCAAATTTGACATCATCCACTCCTCTGGTTGATGATTTATTTGGAGATTTTAGTGGCTCTATTGGAGCTCGTCATGAACTGAAAAATGATGATGACCCATTTGCTGATGTATCATTTCATACAGGCGAGAACAAAGAACATGCAGATGATCTCTTTTCAGGGATGACAATTGGCGGTGATAAACAGGGTGATCATGAGAATCAAAGGCAGGGGAACAGAAGTGATCCTCAATTTGTTGACATTTTTGCTTCCAATTCTGAGCAAGGAAACCATAAAGAGGTTGTTAGTGATTTGATGGCCGGTTTGTCAATGGATGAAAATACCTCAAGTACGAAGCAGAAGGGAGCATCTCCTGCCATGCAATCTGAATCTTTATTTTCAGGTTTAAATAATCACATCCCTGACAATGATTTAGGTGGCATGTTGGGCTCTCAGCCAGTTGGGTTCAATGTAAATCCCATGTTTCCTACTGGTCATCTGCCTTATAATATACAGCCTGGTATTATGTTGAACCAATCGTATTCTTCTCAGCCTCTTAATTATGGTGCCATGGGGACTCTCTTGGCTCAGCAGCAATTCCTGGCAACAATGGCTAATTTCCAACAACTTAGTAATGCCAACATGCGAGATGATGGTGTTGCTCACATTGCTGGACCCAATGGACGAACAGCTTTGCCAGACATATTTCAACCAAATTTTTCAACTCAAACTCCGAGCTCCATGATCAACAGTTCAAAGAAAGAAGAAACTAAAGCATTTGATTTTATCTCGGTAAGTCTGGGTGAAATACTTTATGCATATACCTTCATTGATTTATTTTTTTGTTAATGGTCTGTTAGAATTTACTGCTTTGTGAAATACAAATTTGTGCGGTGTTAATTTTTGCCACTTGAATGAAATTAAATCATTTCAAATGTGATTTATCTTCAGAAACAAGCCACTTGGTGTTACAGACCATTTATGGAACATAGGCCTGAAAGTCTGAAACGAGAATTTCATAATTGAACATCTAGAAACCAAAAGTCAACATGAATAATTTACTTTGTTAGGTCATGGTTTACACTCCAAGCTTGCATTTTCCTTCATGGGTGATGCATATTCCTGTTCAGGGCAAAACATACTATAATTGGTTTGATAAACTGGATTACTATGTTGTCACTAGTCCTCGGTCCCCCATGCTATGCATGGGACAGGGGGGTAATTTTTAATATTTAATACATAAAGTTAGAAAATAAAAATAAAAAATCAGTGAGCTTTGGGTGGAATTGAAATTTATGAGGTGATGACAAGTTTGGTTTATTGGCTTGCTTCATTTTATAGATTACTTTGTCTAGCTTTTGGTGGATTGACTTGATCACATTGTTTCATGCTTGTAGGACCATCTTGCTTCTGCTCGTGATTCAAGGAGAATGATTTGAAATTTAGATCTTGTGCTTTTATGGAGGATATTTATGGTGTTATTAATAGATCAAACGGTTAATAGTTTTCTTTCCTGAGCAAAAAGTTGATTTTCTCTTACCATGATGTAGCATTATAGGGATATTCTACATGTCCATGTTGACAAAATAATAAAATATGAAAACATTTTGGACATGGAAAGAGAGGTTCAAAATGGTTGCTAGTTCTCGATATTTTGGATAGAATTTAGGATGAGAATGTTGTGCAGTGTTTTTATTTTCCTGACTCCTGAGTATGTTTTGTATGTAGTGAATAGTTGAGATTTCGCTACTGTAATTCAGGTGCTAAGAAAATCACTAGTTTCTCATGATCTTGTGCGTTGAAAGAGTATTTGTCTTAATATATATTTATTTCTAGGGAATAACATCTGTCATTTTAAAGGATATAAACTTATATCATTTTAGATCCTAACCGTTGATTTCCGTTCATCAACGGTTATAATTTATTGGACAAAATTATTAATTAATTAATAATAAATTTGGCCCATTAAGTTTGACCAAATAGATTATAACCGTTGATGGACGGAAATCAACGGTTAGGATATAAAATGATATAAGTTTATATCTTTTAAAAGGATAGATCTTTTTCCCTTATTTCTATTCGTTGTTTGTGTGAAACAGCGCAATAGTCTATAGGTTCTCGATTTTATGTCATAGATTACAGATAGTTTATAGGTACACTGGAAAAGAAACCAGAGCCTAAGGTCTAGGAAAAGAACACTAGAACTATTAGAAAAAGACCTAAGCCCTGAGGATGACACTCAAGTTACACCGCTCCAAGTGAGAAGCTCCATGGATACTAGCTTCAAGAGAATCAGTTTTGCATGTTTCGAATGCCATGATCCCAATCAATCCCTAGACCAGTCTTGATAGCAACCAGTTCACCATAAAGACGAGATCTGATATACCAAGAAAACCATTAAAACTACAAAACCAAATGAAATGGTATTCTGATCTCTATTTGCTGCCATATAAACTAATATTTCATATAACTTTTAATTATTAAAACAAAAGTGTGCTCAATTACGATGGTTAGCTCTCATTTATTACTCATATACTAAGGTGTGAAAATCTATAAGTTTCAGAGGGTTGTAGAGCTGGCATCAAGAGCTAGTGGAGATCAATAAAAACTGGAGCATTTTTTTTGCATTTGCATTTTATCAAACAAGCTTTAGGGGTTATCAAGTCGAATATTCTAATTTCTAATGTAAGTGTAAAACATCCATTTTAACATTTAAATATTGTGGTCATCTATTAGAAAATCAACAGATAGATCAGTATGAAGTTTGATTCGAATGATTAAGCACTGACCTAAATGCAAATGAGACTATCATACTCAAGAAATGGTTGATGATTGATCTTCAAGGTTTCCCCATAACTGATCACCCATCTCTCTAGTTTGATTTAGTTGCTTTACAACATCCAAGCGCTCTGTAGAATAGGAGGAAGGGATCTACAAATAGTAGCAAGCACCATAAATAGTGTAGAAGATAAATGAAAAACATGATGATGGACAACAGGACAAGGCAGAAAAAAGTTACCAAGAATGGCATATACTTCTTTATAGCCTCTAGCATAGCTGCATGGCCTACAATTGTTACCTGGTAAAAGAATGGAAAATCAACGTTTCATTGAAATACTTACAGCATATTTCTTCTCTGCGTAACTCTTACTTATATCATATTATGGTCCCACATTCAGCGAAGATCATATAACCCTTTGTTTGGAATTCCAAATGTGGAAGGAAAATTTGTGAAGTATCCATTCATAAATGGCTAGATTCAATACCAGTTCTCATTCCCAACAATTTTTTTTTTTATAGTGGATCCTCTGGTATTAAATTTTAACATAACTATGTTATATGTTTCCCATACTGGAGGGGGGAAAAAACAGACGCAATGTATGTTGGAAAAAGCACTACATATTATATTAATGGGTAGGTTAGTATAGCCTTTAAAATGGGTGAAAATTTTAGGGATGATATTTTTATGAATTCTTTTATTTTTTTAAATCATCTTTTGATTTTTCACTGTGATTTTTAAGAGTATACTCAACTGATACCAAAAGCAAAAAAAAAAATAAAAAAAAATAATTGAGGTATTCATGTCATTAAAACATGGGCTTTGTTTTTCTCCTTTCACATGAGAAAAAGAATTCTCCTACACACACATGTTTAAGGTAGGTCCCACCATTAAAAAATAAAAATAAAAATAAAAAAACAATACACGCATATCGATGTATGAATAACATGAAAAATGCTTTCTCCATCAACATAAGAAAGTATTTTCCCTTAAAAGATATCTATTGTATATATCATTAATGGGAAAATATTTTCTCCTACTACTCATAGTCTCGTAATATAAGTGAGGTCTACAAAATAGTGGAGAGAAAAAAAATTCAAGATGAAATTCACTTATGCTATAAGATAAGAAATTTGTTGGGAACATGGTAGAAAAAATTTATTGCTGGATAAAATACGAAAAGATGTTTGGTATGTCAAAATTTATTGCCGGGTAAGATAAGAAAATATGTGTTGGCTCTAGGCAAATTTTTTTACCATACATTGGATGGTAATATTTTATAATAAGATCATGTGTAAAATATGTTTCCCAGCCAAAAAAATTTGCTATCCATTTTTTTATTTTACTCCTACCAAACTTGGCTAAACTATTTTCCTCACCCCATTTTCTTGGGCAATTTTATTTTCTCTCCTACCAAACACCCCTTTAATAGGAGAAAAAAATTCTCCTTTAAAAGGAAAAAATGTTTTCCCATCATTAATATCCCAAACTTCCACATTCTGCACAGTCCAAGTGTAAAGCCTTTTATCAAGCACTCGAAAAAAAAATTAATTGATAGATACCTCTACATTTCTACTTAACTTCTTAAACTCTCAAGTTTATGAATACCTTTAACAACTAGAAGTTGACAATAACCATTTATTCAACAATGGCACCTCTTGGTTCTCTCCATGGATATTTTTCTCACAGAAAAATATTTCCGCAATTACTGCAGATAAGTTATTTGCATTTACTCTCAAAACGACGTTGTTTTGGTGATGAAATATTAAAAAATTATAATTATAAAGACTATTATAACTCTGAAATAAATTAAAATTACAAAAACACCTTGATTTTCGTCCTAAAACGATGTCGTTTTGGGCTCAATACAGATAACTTATCTGCATTAATTGCAGAAAAAACGAACCCTTTTCTTAACACCTCAATATTTGATTTCAAATTCCCCTCATGTATGACACGGCAACATGGCAAACATTCAACAAAACAAGGCAACTGACATGTAAGGTAAGCCCATTAATTTCATTTAAAAAAAAAATATCCACACCCAAGTTTCGTAACTTTGGGTTCACTATCTTAAACACAGTTTTTGTCCTTTTTTAGTCCAATGTTTCTATACACCAGGGGAAACCCACCAAACTTCTTATGATATCAATAAACAAGTGACACCGACCATTTTGCCACGTTTGAACAAAAAAATTATCAGACTGTCACGCCAACAGTAAATTTTGCCAAACTGCCACGCGGCATAATTTGCTACACAGTGTAGCGAATTATGCATGCAAGTAATTCGCTACACAGTGTAGCGAAATATGCCACGTCAGAACCAAAAAGTGCCATGTGTCAAAATTGTTGAAATTCGCTACCCTATGTAGCGAATTTCAACAATTCTGACACATGACACTTTTTGGTTCTGTGCATTCTAACGTGGCATATTTCGCTACACTGTGTAGCGAATTACTTACATACATAACTGTAGCGAATTATGCCGCGTGGCAGTTTGGAAAATTTTACTGTTCGCGTGTCATTCTGATAATTTTTTGCCAAAGCTTGGCATTTTGGTCCCTGTCCCAATAAACAACTAGTTACTATTACATCCGCATAAAAGAAAACGTCAAGTCTAACTAAACACCAAATAGAACTGGAAGGGTAAAGGTGCTTACAGGAAGTAGCATCAAGATTGTCATTGGAATTAGCACAATTATGTCAGTCATGGTTCTTTCTAGCATTTTTCTTTGACTCCTTGAAGCTTTGCAGCCATGTGCTTGACTTATAAGTAGCTCTAAAGCAACCATGATGTCTATGAAGAGTAACAGAGTACCCTTCCAGAGGTCCTAGTAACAAATTCCATTGATTAACAACTTAAAGAGTCAAGACAATCTGCACATTTACTATAAGCAAACTATTTAGAACTCCTACCGCACTTGTGGATGCCAACTTGATGCTGTTTCTCTTGATATAGCTTTCACGTGGAGGAGTTGACTTATCAATGCAAGAACCTTTCCATCGTGTGTTCTTGTTTGTGATTGCTGAAATTGGAGCCTATGATAAAAAATAAAATGAGAAAACAGTGGTTACTAAAAGATGAGCATATGTATAACTGAAGTTCCACCACTTGACAGCACTAGTTCAAAAATGTAGGTTATTGTTTTCTCATATGGTAGAATACACATCAGATCTTGTGCTAACAAATTTGGTGCAGAATAGGGAGTTTTATAGCAAGCATACATGCTATGCAGAATGCATGTGCAGAAATAGAGATCACCACTTTCTAGTTTTACATTAAAACTAAGTTTTATGTGCTGATTTGCATGATTAAGATTTAATACCAATATATGTACTGTTACTCTACAAACAGAAAATAAATTTGGGTATATAACTCAAAAGCCATCAACTTACATCTCTAGTTTAACAAGATAATGAATTTCCTAACTTCGTATATATTACATTTTTACAACAAATAGAATTGCCTAATATACCTTTTCGAATACAGAACTGTTCTGAGAATTACTTTTTGGACATCCTTCTGTTGTTAAATCATGTGACTTCTGCCGTGCTTCAAACACAAAAGGTAACTTGGTTCCATTTATACTTCGTATACATGATGTATGGTTGTCAAACGCAGCATGATCCACCATATTAAGTGATTCACTGCAAATAGAACGCAAATTCAATCATAATTATTTCCTTGTTTTCTTAGAAAATTAGCTCATACGAGAGAAAATATTGAGTAAAAGAATCCACCAAAACCAGCCTACCCTGATTTGTCATAAGCAGCCCAGTGATCTTGCAGACAAATACTTAGCAACCCCTGACTAAGAATGTCGAGAAAGAAGGAAAAACATACAAGGTGAATAGAAACTCTAGGCAGACAGAAACATAAAATAGTAAAAATGATGTAAAAATTAAATGTTACCAGTGAAGCAAGTATGAGAGTGAAGCTGTGTCC